TAGGCTGAACGGAAAGTAGCAGACAGGGAGAGAAGAGAAGGGAAAACTAAACCCAAGCCAACGTCCCAACCCAAAGAAAGGAAGGAAGGAAGAAAGAAAGGGAGGGGAAGGAAGAAGGGAAAACTCTTATCATCATTCTCTCTCTCCTCCTCTCTTTCTCTCTCATCGGACAGAAGGGAAAACAAATAAACAAAATAAAAAATTAGAAAAAGAGGGAAGAAAAGAAGGGGAGGTGGTGGTGGTGGGGGGAGAGCTGGAATCACATGGTCTTGTTCTTCCTCTTCTTGTCTCCTCCGTTCTCTCTCTCTCTCATCTCATCTTCTTCCTCTCCTTGGGTCACCACTCACCACTACACAACTCTCTCCCTCTCTCCTCCAATGATCTCCCCTCTTAAAGCTATCCACTGATTGACTGCCGACTCTCTTCTCTCTCTCTCCCCCCTCCCTCCATCTCCCCAGCCATGGCTGCTCCGGCCGACGATAAGGTATTCCCTCTCTCTCCCGGCCCCGTCCGTTTAGTTTTCTCGCCTGAAAACAGCATTTCTCCATCTTCTCGCCTGAAAACAGCATTTCTCGTAATACTGTCTCTCTTTCTCTCTGCTCAAAGTTCCCGATTCCAGAAGTTGCTTGTGTTAAGCGTTGATGACTCTTGTTACGACCTTTCTTGGTTAGGGTTCCAAAAACGAAATTCTTGTATACTCATCTGCATTTCTTCCGGTCTAGGAGTTTTTTTTTCTTCTGGATTTCTTCCCGTTCACTTCGATTTATTCTTGTCTTTAGGTTTGTTAGTCAGGCTTCTTTTTTCTGTTCACTCACCTATACGGGGTACGGAAGAGGAATTCTTTTTAGATCTGCTTCGTCTGTACTCGCCTGGCCGGCTGTCTGTTCTGGCGATCTCCGCCTTCAGCTTTCCAGCCTATAAGAAACCCTAATTCTCCTTTGGTTACTATTTCTGGGGTCAGTGGATCTAGATCTCCTTCGCTTCCCGCGGCTACTCATATCTATTTGGCTTCAAGCAGGCTAATCTGCGCCCGGTTTTAGAATCTTTCAGCTTATCTTGGTCGCCTGAGATCTTATCTTTCAACTTGCCGGTGAACTGAGCTTTTCATCGCACTTGTTTCTCTATGCTTCCGGCTGGTTTTATTTGTGGTTCCCGATCGCCAGACGGAGTTAGCTTTGCTTGGAACATATATTCAGCTAGATTCATCTTTAAGCTACCTGTGTTCCGTTTTTTCCATTCCACTTTTGACCTCTTCCTGCTCTGTTTTTTTTTGTGTGTGGAAGGCTTACTTACCTTTGTATGCCAAATTATTCCTTGCGCTCTTGAAAAGGAAACTTCCCATTATTGATGTATCATTGGCTGTTTCGTAGGAGATTTCTGCCCATGGCAACGATCCAGTCACCGGGCACATTATTTCGACCACAATTGGGGGTAAAAATGGAGAACCCAAGCAGGTAACTATTTGTAATTGGAGGAATTTATATGTGGGCTGAATATGTTGTTCTCCCCCTTTAGGAACTGACTGAGTTGTTTCATTGTTTTGTGTTGTTACAGACCATCAGTTACATGGCAGAGCGTGTTGTAGGGACTGGATCGTTTGGTATTGTTTTCCAGGTATGCATATATATAGATCTGTGAACTTGGAAGTATTGGATATCCACAATGGGTTTAAAAGCTGACCTTTGATGGCTACGTTTAGGCTAAATGCTTGGAGACTGGGGAGACCGTGGCAATTAAGAAAGTTCTACAGGATAGAAGATACAAGAACCGTGAATTACAGCTGATGCGAGTGATGGATCACGTCAATGTGATTTCCTTGAAGCATTGCTTCTTCTCCACAACAAGCAACAATGAGCTGTTCCTCAACTTGGTCATGGAATATGTACCTGAAAGCATGTATCGGGTGCTAAAGCACTACAGCAATGCCAAACAGGCGATGCCACTTATTTATGTCAAACTTTACGCATACCAGGTATGTGTTGTGCATCTATCTGAGGCGGTTTGGTTAAAAGAATAAGCTTGTTTTGATGTTAACTGTGAGACATGTTCCAGATTTTCAGAGGATTGGCATATATTCACAATGTTACTGGAGTTTGTCACAGGGATTTGAAGCCTCAAAACGTTTTGGTATGCTTGCTGATTAGGCTATTTAGGTTCTCGTAGCTTATTATACCCACTAAATCATTGTGCCAGTGGATAGCAGTTTCTTATGTGCATTATTTTCTGCCTGCAGGTTGATCCCCTCACTCACCAGGTGAAGCTTTGTGATTTTGGAAGTGCAAAAGTGCTGGTATGTTATTGCCGTCTTATTTTGTACTTCCAGTTTTCTTTAATAATTGCAACCCTTAAATCTTCCAAGTGTTTCCGTGTGAGTTGCTTGTTTTATGTTCTCATTATGGATTCTGTGGATTAACCTAATTACATGTCTTCAGGTCAAAGGTGAAGCAAACATATCCTACATTTGCTCTCGATTCTATCGAGCTCCTGAGCTTATATTTGGAGCCACAGAGTACACTACATCAATTGATATTTGGTCAGCTGGCTGTGTTCTTGCTGAGCTACTTCTTGGCCAGGTAAGCATTGCTTATGTGTGCATATATATACTTCTAGAAGGCGCTCCTTTTGGCACTTTGCTGTCTAGAATTTAGTCTCACCTCTTCTCATTATTCAAAACCTTTGCAGCCATTGTTTCCGGGAGAAAATGCGGTGGACCAGCTTGTTGAGATTATTAAGGTATACTTCTTTTCCATCTTACTCTAGCTAGAATTAGTATGCAAGTCTTACGTGCTAAAAGCAAGCTTTCTCATACATCTTTCCTGTTCTAGGTTCTGGGCACTCCGACTCGAGAAGAAATTCGCTGCATGAACCCTAATTATACTGATTTTAGGTTCCCCCAGATAAAAGCCCACCCTTGGCACAAGGTTTGTTCTTGGTTTCCCTAGCTATATTTATGACCTCTGTAATGTGCTGCATCTTTCTGAGACTTGCTCAATGCTCCTTTGTCTTGGAAACTTTGATCTTATGGTTTTGAAATACTTTTTGGGGCAGGTGTTCCACAAAAGGATGCCTCCTGAGGCAATTGATCTTACCTCTCGGCTGTTGCAATATTCGCCAAGTCTTCGCTGTACAGCTGTGAGTTCACTTTGATTTGGTCATATGATGTTGGAAGTATGTACATTGTATAGATCCTTAACAAGATTTTACTTTTGAGCCTGCAGTTGGAAGCATGTGCTCATCCGTTCTTTGATGAGCTTAGAGATCCTAATGTCCGCCTACCAAATGGCCGGCCTGTGCCAACTCTCTTCAATTTCAAGCAGGAGGTATGATCTCATGTAATTCTGAACTTGGGTTGTCTGTGGATGTTACCTTTTTCCTTGAAGTACAAAGCAACTCATGAAGCAATCATCTGTTTTCCTGTGTCCACAGCTAAATGGGGCTTCTCCTGAACTGGTTAACAAGTTGATCCCAGATCACGTCAAGAGGCAAATGGGCCTAAACTTTATGGCCGGAACCTAATATGGGTTAGGAGCAGGGCGGTGAAATGAATTCAGTAGTGTATCTGCCGGTGGTTTACCCCTGAGATAACACAGCGGGGGCTTATTATCTTCAATGTTTTGACAAATGATATGCACAGCTCTGCCTAACCCAGGACCACTTCTTCCCCCCTCCCTCCTAGACCTGAACAGGATCACCAGTGGAAGGTCAGCTGAACGAAAGGAAAGCTAGTGATGTTTAATTCTTCTCCACGTTATTTCTTTTTCCGCGTCACATCTCCCTGTCATCATCTCCTCCTTTTTCACTTGTATGCTTTCCTCTGTTCTTTTTTTTCTTCTTTTCTGTCTGTAAATGTCTGATAGTAAAAATAGCCTTGGAGGTGTTACTCTTTACATTATATAGCCTGGGGAGCAGCAGCAGCAGCTGAGGTAAAACAAAAAGCTTTTGAGAGAGAAAGTGTACTTGTAACTAGGATGAGAAAAGGCATCTGAATTTAGGGATGGCCCTCGGGAGGTGTTGGAAGAAGAAGGGATTGATTGGTGAATGGTGGGTGGGTTGGGATGGCGGGTGTTCCTTTGTTTTGGTATTTTGTGCTTCTTTCCTGCATTGTCGTTGTTCCTATCTTTTGTTCTTCTGTCAAGTGACTTGATAATATGCAACAATTTGTCACTACGTCTTGTCCCCAAAAGTGTAATGAATCATTATTATTGTTTCTACTTTGTGTTCTTAGGTTTAGTAGCTGTTTTGCAGTTTCCTTGATGATGTATGATGTGCAGTACATAGACTGGCTTGCAAGTAGCGGCTTGGGGACAGGGTTAGTGTACTTCGAAATGGAGACTTCGAATTGGTCATTTCGTCCTGAGTTTTTCCGCTATGTGGCGGGAAATTCAAGGTAGTGGGTGGCTTGCTGTTGGTGTTGTGTTGAAATCCTCAATGGCGTTGATTCCTGCAACAAGGCAAGGCTGTGGGCTGTGGAGTGGAGGGGTCAAAGTAGTGGAAATCGGCGGGTCGTAAAGCAAGCAATCAATCAATCAATCAGCAGCTTGGGGGCCGGTAAAGCAATTAAATTGAATTGAATAATGAGAATTGAATTCATAGGGTTAAGTTAGTGGCGGGACTAGAGACAAGCAGACCATCTCTGTCATTTGCCCGAATCTCTAGACTTTCTTGAGCTCTTTTAAAAAACCCAGCTATTCCCCCCTTCAATGATCATCATTGTTTAATCCAAGAGATTAAACTAATCAATCAATTTAGAAAGGGATGGGGCAGCTGCCTTCCACAGGGCACAACAGTCTGCAATTTTTAAGTCTTGACTAATGTGGAATGGTTCCCTTACGAGGCAATCCAAACAACAAAGTAGTAATAATAAATAAATAAATAAATAAATAAAAAAGATTCCGGAAAATAGCAGTTGGAGTGTTGCGACGAGAAAGAACTCTACTTTAACCTACTGCTTGTCCTGTTCTGTTCTGTTCAAATCAATTAATCAATAAAATGTCACATCACCACCTAAGACCGTCTCATCTGCTGCCGCTTCTGCTTCTTTCAATCGTTTCTGTCTGTCCGGCAATCTGGTTGGGCGGTAGCGGTATTAGTCAACGTCGAGCAGTGAAGATAATAATAATATTACCAACACCAAATCTCCCCTCCCTTTGATTCTTTTCCCTCTCCCTCTCTTCCCTGCTCGCTGGCATGTGTAATGGCGGCTCTACTGCTGCTTCGTTTCTTGCTACTGTGGCTTCCTGCTCTCGCTTGGGCCTCCGACAGCAGTATTCTTTCTCCCAAAGGTGTCAACTTTGAAGGTGGTGTAGCTTAGTTGCTTTCATATATTATCCCCGAGATCAAATTACAGAGTTTGGCTCCTAAGTTTTACCCTGTACTGTGCTTTGTTTGTTCATTAGTGGCGGCGTTGATGGCGATGAAGAAAGAGATGAGGGACGAGTCAGGTGTAATGGCCGGCTGGGATTTGAACTCGGTTGATCCCTGCACTTGGAACATGGTCGGTTGCTCCCCAGAAGGCTTTGTCATTTCCCTGTAAGTTCCTTCCTTTGTTGTTGCACCTGATGGAGTATCCATCTAAGATATAAAAGGGTAAAAAAAAGGTGTAATTTTTTCCTTTTTTCAATAGGGAAATGGCAAGCACTGGTTTGGCAGGGACGTTATCAACTAGTATTGGCAACTTAGGTCACCTGAGGACAATGTAAAAAGTTGCTTTTGACTTGTTATAATTTACTCTTTTTAGGCTGAAAAAGTTTTTCTTGGCCTCTTTTCCCCGTTCTGAAAGTTCAACTGCAGGCTATTGCAGAACAATTTGTTAACTGGGTCGATCCCAGCTGAGATAGGAAAGCTGTCTGAGCTTCAAACTCTTGACCTCTCAGGTAACCAATTTGAAGGCAACATCCCAAGCTCTTTGGGACAATTGACAAGGCTAAGTTACTTGTGAGTCTGGCCCTCTTCTTGTTTTGTTTCCTTTGATGACACATGAAGGGAATCAACGACATATTGTTTGATCACGTTGACTACTGGGTCGACCACCTTACACCAGTCAATCGATCTACCAATTGTTGTGATCAGCTACCTTATCAATTAGGTTGACCATATGGCAAGCAATCGCAGCGACCATAATGACACAGTTGATTGACCCGATTCCTTATACGATGCAAACAACCAGATTGATTGAGGGGGTCAAAGTGCAATGTGGTCGACCTGATTGTTAACGTGGTCCACAAATATGTCGTTCATTTTGTAAAACATATCATTGTTTCTTATTTGTAGCAGTGAATGGCTTGTGGATTCTAAAGCTTTTGATGTGCCAAGCTTTTCAGGCGCTTGAGTAGAAACGGGTTATCAGGACAAATTCCTGGACCGGTTGCCAATCTCACAGAACTGTCGTTCTTGTATGAATCCCATTCCCATCTAGCTGCATTTCATTCCAAGTAGATGATATGAAAAAACTTTCCAGCAGACTTGTCTAACCATAACACTATGTGCAGGGACTTATCATATAATAATCTCAGTGGACCGACTCCAAGGATACTAGCTAAAGACTATAGGTACTAAAACTCTTCACTTGTCTACCTTTAAGTTTGGTATAACACTCACAGCTATTTTGATGTAACATTCGAGTCCTTTTCTCACAGCATCGCTGGGAACAGCCTTCTCTGCGGTCCATCTCCGACAAAGGGCTGTTCGAGTGTTTCTAAGCCAATAAATGGTAATAATCTACTCGAAACTTGTTCCTGACTATCAGTGCTAAACGCTGCAAAAAGTGCTTAAACAAGTTTCCATGCAGCAACAGTTGGATCCCCCAAGGTCAACAATGGCCATCATCATTGGGTGATGTCAGTTGTATTGGGCTTCAGTTGTGCATTTGTAGTTTCACTGGTCCTGCTTGTTTGCTTGGTGTATTGGTATAGAACCCGTCTACTCTCTACTTCATGCGGTACCTCCCTTCCCCAAACTAGATTCTCCTTTCTTTGTTATCTTCATGTAGAGAATGGCTATTAAGCCTATATGATGTCTGATAACTTTTGTGCGTGGTTGTGCTTTGCAGTGCAGCAGGACTACGATTTTGAGATTGGTCATCTAAAGCGATTTTCATTTCGAGAGCTGCAAGTTGCTACAGGAAACTTTAGTAGAAGGAACGTGCTTGGTCAAGGTGGGTTTGGTGTTGTCTACAGAGGGTGTCTGCCAAATAAGACACTTGTGGCCGTCAAGAGGCTGAAGGATCCTAACTTCACTGGGGAAATGCAGTTCCAAACCGAGGTTGAAATGATCGGTTTGGCCTTGCATAGAAACCTATTGAGGTTGTATGGCTTCTGTATGACTCCCGAGGAGAGGATGCTTGTTTATCCTTACATGCCAAATGGAAGTGTTGCTGACCGCCTGAGAGGTCTGTCCTCGAGCAAAACTCCCTCTCATTTATGTTCCTGCCCAATTGCTTTTAGAACGTAATTATGGGTTAAAGTGCCATATTTGAACTATTTACCCAAGTTCGTTCAGAGACCCATCTTGTGTTCTTTTTTACCCTCTGATTCATATATTCTTAGCTTTGGCTTTCTTCTGTGTGGTCCAGAGACTGGTGGGGAAATCCCATGTTTGAACTGGAACAGGAGACTCCGAATTGCCCTTGGTGCAGCTCGTGGACTGCTCTACTTGCACGAGCAGTGCAATCCTCGTATAATCCACAGAGACGTTAAAGCTGCAAACATTCTACTCGACGAGAGCTTCGAAGCTGTGGTTGGAGATTTCGGACTTGCCAAGCTGTTGGATCGAAGGGATTCCCATGTCACCACAGCAGTACGTGGCACAATTGGTCACATTGCTCCGGAGTATCTCTCAACCGGCCAATCCTCTGAAAAAACCGACGTCTTTGGGTTTGGGATACTGCTTCTGGAGCTTATAACAGGCCAAAAGGCACTGGATGCTGGAAATGGGCAGGTCCAGAAAGGAATGATCCTTGACTGGGTAAAACAATGCGCCTTTTGGCTCAAGTTTATCTTCTTTGTTACTTCTTGTTCAAGCAAACTCATTAAGGATTCTAATGGCCAACTCCATGACTGCTACATTATGCAGGTGAAAACCTTACATGAGGAGAAGAAGTTGGAAATGCTGATAGATAAGGATTTGAAGGGATGTTTCGATCCATCGGAGTTAGAACAGGCCATCGAATTGGCGCTGCAATGCACTCAGTCGCATCCTACTCTACGTCCGAAGATGTCAGAAGTCTTGAAGGTACTTGAAGGCCTCGTAGGACACTCGGGTGTCGAGGAGGCACAAGCTGGAGGGTCGAACATATACGAGGCAAGGCCTTTCAGTTTCTCTAGGCAGCAGCATAGTGGTATCCATGAAGCATCTTCGTTCATCATTGAAGCAATGGAGCTTTCAGGACCAAGATGACTCAGGTGTCACATTTTGTTTTCCCCTCCGTTTTCTTAGATAAAGATGTAAATGAATTTTTTCTGCGGTAATAGCAATCCTTGTCGCTTGCGGATTGCCGTGTACAAAATGGTCACAGGTCAAAGGATTGTTAGGGAAAGTTGAAATTGAAACACTGTAGTTTTCAGCATATAATATTTGATAAAATCAGGCATATGGTCAAAGGAAACCTCGCGCTGGCAGACAGTTCAATTCCCTTTTCTTCTCTGAAACACCTTAATCATTTCTCTAGTAGAGGGTTTTTGCTCTGTCCAGGGTGTAATATAGCACCTTAATTATTAGCTGCCACAAGGCACAAGCTCAAGCTCCGGCTTTCTATTGGTAAATGGGTTATCGAATATATGGCTGATTCACAGTAGTGTGTCAGTTGTTGACTAATACATTACACATGCGCCAAATTTGGGTGAGATACGTTAAGAGTCCGTTATAAGTGTCGTTTGCAAGTTGCGAATGTTAAGGATATAAATCGAAAGAAAAAGTTGACACAAATTTAAAACCAACAATCTCAACTTTTAGTCGAGATTGTATAATGCATCATTTTTTGTGATTGTTGATGAGACCTATTTAAAACAATGCATGCATTGTTTTACACTTTGACACTTCCAAATATTGTATTGTGCACACTATATCTATTCAGCAAACACAATTCTAACAATCACAACTTACGATCCAAATGATTTTTGTTTGTAAAGGTCAAAACTTAATGAAAATTGACTTCTTAGTTCTCATCAATACGAATAAATAAGGAAAAACTGAAAATTTTCCAATTATGTGTGTTACTCTTCCCCTTCTTCCTAATCCAAACGATCCAAAAGAAAACTGTAGAGTGGTTAGACTACTCTGCCTCCCTGCTCAGTTTCAGCTTCTTTCCACTAAAATCTACTACATTTTATGCTTTGCTTTGCTTTGGATTCCAATCAGTCCTCACATTCACATGCTTAGAAGTGATATTCCATCTTTTATAGCGCTTATGCAAAATTTAAAATCCAATTATGCCTGTTAAAAATCTCAAATTAGACAGCGGAGCATGTGTAGAGCAAGGTTGTTAAACTCCTATCGAACTCCCGGTTACACCCAGTCCGACCCTAGTCGAGCTTCAAAACGGCCTCTAGAAAGCTCCGGTCTGACCCCTAAAAGAGGGAGAAGAAGAGAGGGGAAAGAGAGGAAGAGGAACGGAGGAAGGGAGATGGTGGGTGGATCATGTAAGTTATGTAGATTTATTTTGTGAAAAATAAGTTTTTAATAGATATATGTAAGATAAATTTTATTTCATTCATTAAATCTTTAATTACTACATTATTTGTACATATATTTAGAAAATGTCTAAAACGACTCAAACCGGCCGGACCCCGATCAGACCATTAAACCTCAAACCCCTTGTTTAACCGAGTCAATAACTTAAACCGGTCTGAAAACCTTGGAGTAGAGAACTCAAGCACTGTAATGTAATGCAATGCCTAAGAGGCACGTTACTTTTTGGGCATCTATGACCAAAGGCCCACCAAGAATAACTAGCACATGGCCCGACCCGTTGGCCGGAAGAATTTTGTCGGAAAAATAATATATAATAATAGATATAAAAGATGATTTGAAATGCATGAAAATATTGTTTTATATCTTAGTTATGCACATAATATATTTGAAAGTGATCCAACTATACATAATGTGTTTAGGCTTCCATGAAAAAAGAGGGAAAAAAATAATAATATAAGCATTACATATAATTATTGAATGTAAAAATATATATAAATAATTGTCATTCATAACTTAATTAAACCATATAGTTGAATATTAGAGTTGCTTCTCACTATACATACATAATCAACCTTTAGGATGAAAGAAAATGTCTCATAGAGTCTAGTATGTCCTTTAAGTTTTTCCCAATAGAGAGCATTATTTGTTACCGCACTGTTAGTAATGAATCTGAAGTTGCTTGATTTGAAATATATAGGAGATGATGCTACGTTGTCGCTAATAGTTAGTTGGACAATGTCTTGCATACGGACTTCCCAAATTATTCTCAGATCGCAGACATGTCTAGCTACAATGTAGTAATTTTCATGCAGCAAATATTTTTTGGCAAAATACAGCTGTATATCCACAACTATCAGGTTTGTGACAAATATATCCATAACTATCGAAATACACGAAATATCCATTTCCGTCCACTCCGTTAACTCCTTCAGTTAACTCGATAACTGGACAAACGGTGGATTCTTAGTTGGCATGCTTCTGGCCCCACTAAATGATGTGGATTAAAAGAGAAAAAAAAATTAGGCAAAATACAGTTGTATATCCACAACTATCAGGTTTGTGACAAATATATCCATTTCATTTTGCTAACCCTAGGGTTCATGTCGCTAGTGCTTTGTCATCTTGTCTTACCGTTATTGTCATTTTTTGATACTTCTATCACTCGGTGAAATTAAGGTTTCCTGATATGTAGTGTTCGTCTCGCCCAGAGGATTGAGGAAGGAGATGAAGAAGACATAATTTGATTCGAATCGGATGGAGGTGTCTCCTTAATTTGTGTTTATGTATTAACGGTGCGTTTAGGACTAATTCTAGTTGGACTGGGTCTGATCATTGATTTTTGCAGGCTTTTAAATAACATTCAAAAGTGGGCTTGTACATGATCCATGCAATATTCAAAAGTGGGCCTGGAACATGCGAGCCCATTTGATTTCTCCTACCGTATCAATTCGTGCGCCAACCCTAGTTTAACTAGCTTTACTTACCCTAGTTTAACCTACACGAGTTACCATCATCATTACATATCTTCCGAAATCTTCTAAATCTTGACATTCCAGACTCAACCGTCTCCATCTCACTTACGTCTCCAGACTCAACCCCCACGATCACTTTTCTTACACCTACATTCTCTCTCTCTCTCCATCTTCACCTTCCACTTGTTCCTTCTTCCTCCCGACTCCATGGCAAACAAAAGTAGATCGTTTGCAGAAATGGGGATACTATCTCTATCAAATGAAGACTATAGATCCACCGCCAGCCTCGGTGAATATCTTTCATTTACAAGCAAAACAACAATTGTGGCCGAAAAATGAGTTCATCCACCTAAGTCCTTTCCCTCCAGCAGTGAAGACGTTAATAAAAAATCTTGGCTGGAAAAAGTTCTTTGATCTCCGGAGTCGAGGAAGCACCAGTTACCGCCCCCATGTGGCGAGGAAGTTCTACCACAATCTAAAGCTTTCTGGTCCCTATGATTCTCATCTCGTGTCGATCTTCCTTGGACATAGAATCTGCTTCCAGCCTCATCAGTTTGATGAGATCCTTGATCTTCCCGCCGGAGGACACCCCATTGAGAGCAGAAGCGATCTTGGGCGGCTGTACGATTTTGAGTTTGAAGTTGAACTGGCGAAACTCACTAAGGGGCGCATCAAGGCTTCTTTCCTCCCAGATCCTCTTCGATTCCTCCACTGGTTGATCATCAACTGCTTCCTTCCAAGGTACTGTGGTCATTCGATTATTCGTAAACTTGACTTGTTTATCCTTGTGCAAGTTCAAAATGTTAACCTCGCATCTCTCATGTGCCTGAACATGGTTGAGGCTGCTCCTAGAGGGGAAAACTGCTATACTGCCTTTCCCTATGCCACCTTCTTGACCACCTTTCTTGAAAGGGTTGGGATGGATATGGGAGTTTATGTTAAAGAGGACCAGTGCGCTTATTTGCCGGTGTACCGTATAGCCGAATTGACCAATACTTTTATTGATCTTCGGCATACGGAGCATCAAGAGACCCCTGAGGCCTCCTCAAGAAAACATCCTCGGCTTACATGAGAGTCGATTGATGCAGGGCAGGGTGGAGCGTTGGAGAAGCAAAGGGGCCAGCAATGGATGTCTTCTGTTAACAAGTTTTCTAAGTCTTTGTTAGGTTTTTTTCCAGTCTTTTGTCTTTTTCTTAATTCTCCAGCACTCAAAACTGTCCGGTACTGAGGGGAGCCAATACATCATCTGACTAGGAAAGCTCCTATGTTTTGAATTGTCCAGACCTGGATTTTTCTATGCATGCAGTATTTTTTGAATTTGCCATGACTAAGTTACCTAAGACAGGTGACGAGATGCAGTAATGGTCATCTCCAATGGTGCAATTTTTGTGACTTGCAAGATGATGTGGCAAGGAGGTGCAATTGCATCTTTAAATTGCTATGATGTGAGAAGCTATTGCAAGGGTGAAAATTTGCATAAGAGCATCTCCAATGGTGCAATTATAGTGACTAGCAAGCTGATGTGGCAATAAGTTGCAATTGCAACTTTGAATTGCATTGATGTGGGGTGCCATTGCAAGTGTGCAAATTTGCTTGCAATTGAAATGGGCCCGCGAGTGGGGAATATTGATGAAATTGCAATTGACTTTCATTGTTTGAGAGAGGATGAAGTTGAGAAGTGGTGTTTTCTCAAAATTATAGAAGTGGAAGTAGGGAGTACCTATGAAATTGCAAATGAATTTCATTGGGGGAGATTTTAATCCGCTTTTGTTCTAAGCAGTTCCAATTAGGCCGCAGAATGTGTTACTTATTTCATCTTCAATTTTTAATGGTTTTCGAAAATTATGGTTTTATTTATATTTGGTCACAAGTATAGTGACGATGATAGGCGTGAATAGTATGGATATGGCTTGATTATAATGATTTTTTTCCCTTTTTCATCAAGACTCATGCTTCTTTTATTCCCCCGGTGAATCTATCATGCTTCATTTATAGTAAAATAACCTTTTAACTATACACAATAAAAAACCCATTAATTATGTAACCTTTTTATTGTATTTATTAATACAATGAATTCTCTCACTAAAAGGGGAGTGCATACATCGTTGGTGGAAATTCAAGGAATGGAAGCATTTCCATATCCTCGGAACATTAAATTAATTACCTAAGAATTTTCTATCTGCCTTGTACGGGTTTTGGTCATTAATTATGCTAATTGGAAGCCAATCAATTTTACTTTTTGGATTAACTATACATGAATGCAAATTTCATTAGACGAGGGCAATTGGGAACGAAGTTGAATAATATGATCTCAATCCAAGCTTTTACTAGTTTGTTTCCCCCTTAAGATTATTCTTCTGTCTTGGTAATCCTTGATCCCCTAGACCTGGCCGGGTTGTGGTCAGAGTCTGGTGAGTTTGTATCTGAGTGTTTGTTTCTTGGCTTTCAGCCTCCTTCATTAAAAAAAAAATTAAACCTCTCTACAAGATACAATGGCTTGAACAGAAGCAACCTCACTCACAAGTTGGAAGCTTGAATTTTGGTCAAGTCCCTTTGCCATTTCGGGCAGCTCACTTTGGAAGCCTGTTCGTCACGCATGGCTCGATGAAAATGAGATTTTATTGATTTGTATTGAACCTGAGATATTTGTGAACACCATGGATTACTTGGGAGCTGGAGATCAAGTCCAGAAGGTCCCTTTTCAGGTTGTGCAAAAGTGTAACTGGAAAGCTGGAAATTGCCACTTGTTGGCTAAGGTAGTAGCCATGTTAAAGCTAGATACTTTGAGACTCGATTCGAAAGGGATGGCTATCCGAAAAGTCAATATAGTTTCCACGGAAAAACAAACCAAACCAAACCAAAAAACAAATATAGAAAGCATTCACCAAATATAATACCCGAGATATCGTGTTCATCATTAAAAAACAAACCAAACCAAACCAAAAAACAAATATATAAAGCATTCACTAAACCAAACCAAAAATGGTTGTCCATCATCTTGGAAAAAAAACATAACATGGTTGTCCATCATCTTGAAAAAAAATGCAAAATCAGATTGTCCTTGGGCTCTTTGACTGGGTTTCCTTGTGCTCTTCTCTTTCCTTTTTCCTCCTTTCATGGGATTTCTTGTACTCTTCGACTTCAGCTTCAACTTGAGGTTCAACTGTTCTTGCTTCCGTAAGCATCATATGCCTTATGTAGTTCATGGGCTCTCGAACAAGGTACAAAGAGATCTGCATCCTCCTCACTTGAGTGCATGGCTATCAACATCAACAAACATGGTACGCATGATTCAAAAATAACAATCAAGTGTGGTTTTCTAATATGCGAACTAGAATTGTCTTTACCCAAATATAAGAGGAGTCCCAGCTTGCGCCATACATCCACATGCAGACCCAGAATCCACTGTCAGACCTACATAAAATGAAAGCATTGCGTGTTAAGAACCAAGTTGATAAGCCGTCGTTTAATATCACACAAAATGGGCATACTTACCGATGAAGTTGTTCTTGATCCTTTGAAGGATTTGTGTATGAAAACTCTGCAATCCTTGGTGGCGACAATCCCGGACCTTGTTCACGATAGAATATCTTCCACAAGGCTTGCATAAATCTCATATGTACAAATTAAGAAACATTTGTATTTAGAAAGAGGTATTTACATTTTTTTGCGTTATAACGGCACAATGTCACAAATTTACCATTGTTTGAACAGATTGTAGTCGAAAGGAATTGCGGTCTTCATTTGGTTGTGGATACAAGATCTGGACTTATTCCTTGTCCAACTTAATGACAGCCAAGTACCAATGTGCATTATTTCTCATCGGAACACACACCTACATATGCGGAAATTGTCAACACGTATTAAAAAAATAAACTGCAAACCATGTAATACTTATTAAGACAAACAGTTTACCTTGTTCACCATATTGGTTTGACTAAGGAATCTTGATTCGTATAGGTCTAATGCCCTCTTGGGTGTTATTCCACATGAAATCACTAGTTCCTGCCCGTGTGGTAGTTGCACAATTGAAATTTTGTCAACACAATATCATTCACGTTAAAAAAAACATGTGTTGTATTTTTTTGGTGAGAGGAAATTAATCTTAAGCATAATCGTACCACAACCTGTAGTTCAGCAGGCAGATAGCACACTCCTTTTCCGTCCTTAGAATTTGTCCATTACTCTTCTAGAGTCAAGTGGCAGGCCGCCGCTGTTATAACCTAATATAACATGGACAAAAAACACTTCATGATACTATAGATTTGTTACAAAATAATTCTACGTAGAAAGAATTGATAGTGGAGAAACAAAACAAAATTTTGGAGTTCCGTTGATTACTTCAGCATCTACGAATGAGCGAGGACTTAAGGACCACAATGACTTCCTGGTACAAGAGTTGTTTGAGGTTTTGACCAATACTTCGTCAGGTGGCAGATTGGCTAAAAATATATAGTGAGCAAGCTGGATTTGCTCATCATCGTATTCCATAGCAGTAGGTAGCTTAAACTTCAAAACAACCTGGAATAGGGACCACAAATAAACACGAGTCGAAATGCATTCTTTATGTCTGATGGAATAACGGCAAAGAACACTTCAATGGCAAATAGGACACCTTTATTACCTTGTCAACAGAGCTTAGAGAAATACTTTTTCCATTTGGCTTCTTTGGTGCTACCTCAGAGTCAGATTCATCGTCCGAAATAAAAACGATGACTGAAGCATGAGTGGATGGAGTGCTTACACCTTTGGGTAGCCTTGGTTTCTTTGTTGGAGTCACAAATTCAGCGGTCTCCTACAATGACAGTGAACCTACGATTAATAAATTAACTAGAATGAATTTCAATGGTTAAAGAGCTATTAGACATACCACAAGCTTGGACGAAGAGCGAGTAATCCTCCTATGTTCCTTGTTGTGCCTCTAAGCTTTAGTCTGTACTCAAAATTGCGGCAAAGAAGGATATGGAACCACTGCTCTACCGGTGAAGATTAATTATATATACAAGGTTACAGGGATAAAATGTGGCGGCATATTTTTCCCGCGGAAAAATAGTTAGGGTTTAGTCTAAGGTACATGAACTTGGGATAAACATGGGTAGTTATTAAACCTAAAAATAAAAATATATTTTGTTTTTCGACTGAATAAAAAATTGAGTGCTATTAGTAAATATTCGCTCATATTAATATTTGATCCTTCCCCATACACGTAGTACACGACCGGCTTATTAACATCTTGTGGGCCGATAGTGTTGCTGTTGCTGATTATGCATGTTTTGGAGAATTACTGTCATTCGATGCTACTTACAAGAGGAACATTTACCAGATGCCTCACGTGATTTTTTCATGTACTTTTCCTTCACACATAGAATTATCCCGAGCATGCTAAAATAACCCTAGCAGTTTTCATAATCTAACTTATTTTGTACTTTTTTAGGTGTCAACCACCATTCGCAAACTTGCGTATTTGCAAGTGCTTTCTTGGCTAACGAGAGAGAGGAAAATTATATTTGGGTGTTGGGAGCTTTGAAAAGAAGGCTAGGGGGTGTAGATCCCAAGACTGTTATTACATATGGGGATAGAGCAATGTGTAATGCTATTCAGAAAGTATTTCCCGATGCAATACATCGTCTATGTTCCTGGCATATAGACAAGACTATAACCAGAAATGTGAAGAATCATCCTACTTTTTTGCCCCGATGGAATCATTTTGTGTCAGCTGATTGGGAACCTTCAGAATTCGAAGAAAAGTGGAAATCAGTGGTTGAGGAATGCTCCCTTCAGCACAACAATTGGGTCTCCAATTTATTTGAGCAAAGACATGAATGGGTTGCGTTCGAAGTTCTTCGCAGGCTTGAGTACAACATCAAGATGTGAAGGACCGAACTCTCAACTTGCCAATTATATCGAGAAGGATAAAAATCTCCTTGAGTTCTTTATTCACTTTGATCGTTGGACTAGGGATTTGAGGGAGAATGAGCATCATGCTGATTTTGAGCCCATTTATCGAGAACGAACCATCACAAGCAATGTCTTAGTCTCACTTCAGAAGAGTGGAGCGGCGGTTTTCACAAAGAACACATTCTTCTTATGCAGAGAAGAGGTTGAAAAGTCGGAATGTTGCATAAGGGTGGAGTCAGAGCGATCGGAAATTGAGCGTGTGTACAAGGTCAAGGTGTCTGGCATGGATAAGGTTTTTCAAGTCACGTACACAGTTGAACCCTTTGCAATGGAGTGTAGTTGTAATCACTATGATTATATGGGAATACCATGTCGTCATATGATTTTTGTACTGAAAGAAGAGAGCATACTGGAACTTCCTGAAGGCCTAGTACGTCGAAGATGGTCAAAGAAGCCAAAGACACTAGAAAGCTTGGAGGAACCGGACATAATAGATGAATCGCAACTTTTCGCATTGAGGTTTGCCTGAGTATCACTTTTTTTTAATATTGGTTCGAAGCTAGGTGAACGTTAATTTTACTCACTTTGTATAAAATATTGTGTCAATCAGGTATGGTACTATTCAACAAAACAGCTTACAACTAATGTTAAAAGGGGCAAAATCTAGTGAGTGCTTCAAGATTGCTCATGAGGGAATTCAATCATTATGTGAGAAGCTGGACATGGTGGACATTGGCAACGTGGACATACCCGACATTAATAGACCGAAGGCGAATGATATTTTGTTGGATCCATTACAGGTCAAAGCTAAAGGTTCGGGGGCTAAAAAATCTAAAAGGAAGAAAGGAGAACCAAGTGTAGTAATTGCGGGGAATGGCGCCACTATAGGACCTGATGCCAACATCTTGTTGGCTATGTGAAGCCAACCACAAACGGTGATGCCCCGAATGCTGGTGTTTCGGAAGAAGGTGGCGGTTGCAATGACACCGATGTTGATCCTCCCACCACTCAAAATCAGTCGGAAACGGTATCGAAGATAAGGCAAAAGCATTGCAGTAAGTGCGGTTCTACCAATCATAATGCAAGAACGTGTACTGGGTCTGGGCCATCCGATGATGAAAATGACGATGATGAAAATGACGATGACGACGATTACGAGCAACCTAGGGTAAGAATAAAATATAATCGTTCGTGTCTACCCAATGCAGTTGCATCAAATATTTTTGTACGACTAAAATCGTCGTTATCGATTTTGCAGAAGAGGCCTGTTACCAGAAGTAGCAACCTAAGGACCAGAGTTTTGGACACTTGAGTTCTTCGGAATGCGTGTGTAAAAGGGCTGCAACTATTTGATCAATGTTGAAAACTAGAAGTGAAGATGGAAGTCCTTATCCTATTCGGATTAGGATTATGTGAAGACTGCCACTGTCAGCTTGCAGCGGCGCCGTTTGGTTTATAAGAAGACTGCTGGTTTATGCGGTTTCGTTTTATTTATGTGTCTCGTTGGTTTATAAGAAAACTACTGCCTTCTACGGTGTTGTTTTATTTAGTTCGGATGGATTTGATTTAATTCGATATGGAGGTTGCTCCCTAAATAAATCATGTGCAACATTTCAGTTGAATAATTTTTCTCACTCGTTTTTTTATTGAATTATTATATCGTATTTTTTACTTGTTTATAAATTTATTTAATATTGGCTACTAAAATTATGAAATGAAAATTTTCCTTTTTCCATTTCACTTTATTATTTTAGGCGCGAAATGACAAGAGCATGCGCCGACAAAGGAGCAGAGTTCAAAATTCGGAAAAAATACTGTTGGCCCAAAAGTAAAAGACTTCTGAAAATGGAGTCGGTAATCAAGAAATAAACTACAGTATTTTTATTGAGTGAAAGATCCCTCGCCGATCTAATATGATCTCAAATACTAAAAGTACAAATCTTGAAAAACAAAACAATGTACTTTCTCTCCTCCCACTTTTATACTATACATATGGCAACTTTCCCCTCTTGTATATATTTTCGGAGCATGATCAACATGTATGCGTCAATATAGCACAAAAGAACCACCATATGACGTAGGGTTCCACAACACCTATTATGGAATCGCAACAACATATGATGATTCTTTCGGCAATATTCAGACGGCGACTTATTGCCATTGCTCCCCCTCATTGCCCTAACAAAGACCCTGTTTGGAGAGAAAAGAAAAAACAATAAGACGAAGGAGTTAGTTTAACAATCATGATCTAACATGCACCCGAAAATAAAGCATGGGACAGGAGGACGCAGAGGCGGATGGGGTTGATTTTCAGAGTTTCATATCGAGAAAATGGGAGAAAGGGGTCTTTTCAGGGATTGAGAGGAGGAGGAACGAACATCAGCATGAGATGAGTGCCTCTCGGGTTTCGGAGCATGGTCTCTCCTTCTCTGATTAAAGAATTTATAAATGGACTCATAAAATTACTTTGCCTTTCCAGCCCTTCCCATTTACTGAAAATCACACTCCCTACCGCTGCCTCGGCCTTGGTAACGCCAGCACTGGTTATGGGCAAATGCGACTTTCCGCAAACGGCGAAATCTAATTGGATGACACTCCGTGGCAAGGATTGAAGCTCTTTCACCATCGGATTAAAGGAAAAGTTTAGGAATTGTCGGCGGGAGATGGGGATGTGCTTTTAGACTGGCTTTGTAGATTAACTAACTTTTTCGTTTAGCAAAATTAATCTACTGATTTGGTATATGTTATTGTAACCCTGAACCCTAAACCCTAAACCAAACCCTAATACCCGAACCAATCAATACCATATACTCTACAGTAATAACACCTTATACCTAACCAATCAATACCATATATACTCTAAACCATCAACACCTTGCTACCTACCTTATACCCTAACCTTCAATACCTTATAGGCTTAAGCTCTAAACCATAAACACCTTAGACCATCTCCATCTCATTGCTTATTTAGTGGAATCCTAGGTGGCACCACTTTTAAGCAATTGCAAGGATGTGGGGGTGCTTTCTTATTTGGCAAGATTGCAATGCCACCTAGGATATTCTTTATTTTTCAATTACTTTTTCTTTCTTTGTATGGGCCCACTATTGGCAATTGCTTATTGGTTTTAGGGATGTAGGGGTTTGGAAATTATTGAATAGGTTTTTTACTTGATTGGTGATGTGGCGATAAGGGCCCACTTTAGAAATTGCTTATTGATTGTCTAAGACCATCTCCATCCCCAACTTTTAGCAATGGCTAAAGATGAGGTGGAGCTTAGATGTCAAAAACTTAGCAATGGTATGGGAAGGCAAAAGCATTGCAGTAAGTGCGGTTTTACCAATCATAATGCAAGAACGTGTACTGGGTCTGGGCCATCCGATGATGAAAATGACAATGACGACGATTACGAGCAACCTAGGGTAAGAATAAAATATAATTGTTCGTGTCTACACAATGCAGTTGCATCAAATATTTTTGTACGACTAAAATCGTCGTTATCGATTTTGCAGAAGAGGCATGTTACCAGAAGTAGCAACCTAAGGACCAGAGTTTTGGACACTTGAGTTCTTCGGAATGCGTGTGTAAAAGGGCTGCAACTATTTGATCATTGTTGAAAACTTGAAGTGAAGATGGAAGTCCTTATCCTATTCGGATTAGGATTATGTGAAGACTGCTACTTTCAGCTTTAAGCGATGTCGTTTGGTTTATAAGAAGACTATTGCCTTCTGCGGTGTCGTTTTATTTATGTGTCTCTTTGGTTTATAAGAAGACTACTGGTTTATGCGGTGTCGTTTTATTTATGTGTCTCGTTGGTTTATAAGAAGACTACTGCCTTCTACGGTTTCGTTTTATTTAGTTCGGATGGATTTGATTTAATTCGATATGGCGGTTGCTCCCTAAATGAATCATGTGAAACATTTCACTTTATTATTTTAGGCGTGAAATGACAAGAGCATGCGGCGACAGTCAGTAATCAAGAAATAAACTACAGTATTTTTGTTGAGTGAAAGATCCCTCACCGATATATTATTAAGATCTCAAACACTAAAAGTACAAATCTTGAAAAACAAAACAATGTACTTTCCCTCATCCCACTTTTATAATATACATATGGCAACTTTACCCTCTTGTATATATTTTCGGAGCATGATCAACATGTACGCATCAATATCGCACAAAAAACCCATCATATGACGTAGGGTTCCACAACACCTATTATGGAATCGTAACAACATATGATGATTTTTTCGGCAATATTCAGACTGCGACTTATTGTCATTCCTCCCCTCCCTGCCTCTAACAAAGACCATGTATGGAGAGAAAAGAAGAAACAATAACACGAAGGAGTTAGTTTAACAGTCATGATCTAACAATGACATAATGAAAGGAACCGAGATCTAAAATAATACGCAGTCTCATCATTACCACTACACCTGAAAATAAAGCATGGGACAGGAGCACGAAGAGGCGGATGGGGTTGATTTTCAGAGTTTCATATCGAGAAAATGGGAGAAAGGGGTCTTTTCAGGGATTGAGAGGAGGAGGAACGAACAACAGCAGGAGATGAGTGCCTCTCGGATTTCGGAGCATGGTCTCTCCTTCTCCGATTAAAGAATTTATAAATGGACTCATAAAATTACTTTGCCTTTCCAGCCCTTCCCATTGACTGAAAATCACACTCCCTACCGCTGCCTCGGCCTTGCTAACGCCAGCACTGGTTATGGGCAAATGCGACTTTCCGAAAACGGCAAAATCTGATTGGGTGACACGCCGTGGCAAGGATTGAAGCTCTTTCACCATCGGATTAAAGGAAAAGTTTAGGAATTGACGGTGGGAGATGGGGATGTGCTTTTAGACTGGCTTTGTAGATTAACTAACTTTTTCGTTTAGCAAAATTAATCTACTGATTTGGTATATGTTATTGTAACCCTAAACCCTAAGGGCGATAAGGGCCCACTTTAGAAATTGCTTATTGATTGTCACCATCTCCATCCCCAACTTTTAGCAATTGGTAAAGATGAGGTGGAGCTTAGATGCCAAAAACTTAGCAATGGTTTAGGGATGGAGGAGTTCTTTCTAAACTAGCAAGATTGCTAAATTAGGAATTCTTCTAGCAATGCCACATAGATAACTATTTTCTTTTTCTATTTTATTGTTTATCAACTTTTCTTGCGTACATAGGTACTTCAAAATTGAAATTCTAACTTTCTGTTCAAAACATAAATTAAAAATTGATAGTCGCTAAGTATCGAACCACAAACCTCTACTTTATTAACTCAGCAACTAAAGGACAATTAACCAATTAAGCTACATGACATTTATAATCATCATGTGAAATTTCTCTTTCTTAATAAGTGAAGGGTTAAAATGAACGGCAAATATATCATAGTGGATTGTTTCTGCTTCGTGGGGGAGTGAGAGAGTGGAAAAGGGGGAATTAATGAAGAGTTAAATTGGACGGATTGTCTTTACCACGACACTACAAAATCCTTCGGAGCAAAAACATGCAGGTTCAAATCAAATAATAAATGAAGAAAGATGAATTAATAACTCTAACTAATTTTCATTCCATATGTGGCGAATCGCTAATGGCCAGGATCACCAACAAGGCAAAATAGATAATAGGAACCTACCTTGCACACACCAAATCATTTTTATCTTGTACCGATAAATGTGTCACGCTACAATAATTATGTCTAATTTTTTTTAGTAATAAGGCATGATCAACATTTATAAGCAGATATAAAGAAAATATAAAATCGAGAAAAATAAAATAAAACAACACCTACCCTCACCCTAAACCAATCAATACCATATGCTCTAAACTATAGGTGTCAATCGGGCGGGTTCGGGCTGGGTTCAATCGGGTTCGGGTTCAAATGGGTTGCGGGTTAGTCGGGTTGTGGGTTCATCGGGTTCGGTTCATCGGGTTCGGGTTCAAACGGGTTGCGGGTTAGTCGGGTTGCGGGTTCATCGGGTTGCGGGTTCAATCGGGTTGCGGGCAAATCGGGTTGCGGGTTCATCGGGTTTTGGGTCGGGCAGGTCGGGTTTCGGGTTATTCGGGCCAGCGCATCAAGTAACTTAACTCATTACTCATTACCAACTTACACATTTTATTACACTAATTTAAAATATTTTCTCAACTTTTTAACCAATTTATTTCTACCTCGTATATATATACTTTATTTTTTTGAAAAAAAACTAGTCAAAATTTTAAATCAGTTTGTATGACTTGCAAACTTGTTATGTAATTAATCATAATTGGTAATGTATTATAGCTAATAGTAATGGTGATATCAATATTTGCAACCAAAAGACACCGTTAATTGTTTATTTGATATTTTAGTATTAATTCAGTAGTAATTGAATTAAAGTATCTCGTTTAGTATGACCATGCAAACCTGGTATTTGCCTTGTGGTAATTGGCAAAAGCATAGTGATAAAAGGAGTTATTTCAAAATAACTCATTGCCCAAATAACTTCAGTAAACTGTTGCCAAACGAGTTATTTGTAAAATTGTTCGAATTATCCTAAAAATTAAACTATTAAAGATTAGCTATCAAATTTAGTAAAATTATTGTGACTTCAATCATAACTTACTCAATAGCATATATCCTATACACTTAGCCTTACCCTCAATCAACAGTATTAAGTTAGTATATGTTGTTGATTGTATACCCTAAACCATCAATACATTATACACTAACCACATAACCTATACCCTAATCATATGTCCTTGAGTTGTGATTTTGCTAGTATAGTTAATTTAAAAGTGAAATTCATACTTTGATTTTCAAAACATAGATAAAAAGTGATATTTGCTAATTGTTATACCCTAACCATATATCCTATACTTTACACCACATACCTTGTACCCTAACCACGTACCATAAACATAAATTAAAAAGGGATCTCCTGCCGTTAAAGACTTCAAATGACTTCAAGTGAACATATGTTAATAAAAAACTTAGAACCGTCAAAACCATCAATATCTTATACCCTAACCATATACACCCTAAACCATATGTACCTTATACCTTATATCCTAACCATATACTTTATATCCTAAACAACGAACCGTCAAAGATTACTTATCAAGTTAAGTATAAATTGTTGTAACTAATGGTTAATTCATTTATTAGCCCATAAACAATTACATACATATATACATATTAGCCTTCAAAGCATATAAGAATAATTTTAATTAGTCATGCCCTCCATATAAAAGTTAAAGATTCATATTTCAAAAGCTAAAATTATGAAAAACCAAAAAATTGAAAACACCAAATTTGTTTCCTTCTTTCTTTTCACAAAATACTAAAATTTTCCTCCTTCTTTCTCCTTCCATACATTAGAAAAACTCAATTTTCCCTCCTCTTTCTCTTTCATAAAATTGAAAGAAACAAATTACCCTCTTCTTTCTTTCTACAAAAAGTTGAAAAGTCAAAAGTTTTCCTCCTTATTTCTCTTTCATAATCAAAAAAATCAAACTTTCTCACTTCTTTCTCTTCCCACATATCAAAACCACAAAAATTCCCACTTGTTTCTTTTCTAAAAAAATTCAAAGAATCAAATTTCCCTCTTCTTTCTCTTCCCAAAAACTTGAATACACCAAAATTTCCCTCTTCTTTTAAAAACATCAAATTACCAAATACATTACTTTACTTTATTTATATTTAATTGATAATTTTATTGAATAGTTAAATTAACCAAAATTTTAATTTATATATTATATTAATATTGTCATTATCTCAAGTGACCTTCATGTTTCAATATTTGTAATTTTCTTAACATACGTAATATCAAGTGAGTTTCATATTTTTTAAATTTCTTAAACGAAATGAAAAAATAATTTTCTTAACATATGTATTGTATATTTTTATAATTATTCAAGTGGATTAGATGAAATTCGGGTTGAGTCGGACGGGTTACGGGTTAGTCGGGTTCGGGTCAATCGGGTTCGGGTCAGTCGGGTTGCGGGTCAATCGGGTTTGGGTTAATCGGGTTGCGGGTTAGTCGGGTTGCGGGTTAGTTGGGTTGCGGGTCAATCGGGTTGCGGGTCGGGCGGGTTACGGGTTGTTGACTTTTAGTCAATTCGGGTTGCGGTCGGGTTGATCGGGCGGGTTAATCGGGTCGGGCTATGTTTTTACACCTATACTCTAAACCGTCAACACCTTATAACCTACCCATACACAATATACTTTATACCATCAACAACCTAATACCCTAAGCAGTCAGTACCCATTTCCTTTAACATCAACACCTTATACAACAATCGTATACCTATACGCTGATAAAATTTTACATTTTGAAAATACTTGCCCAACTAAAGTACATAGGTACTTCAAAAGTGAAATTCTATCTTTCGTTTCAAAACATAAATTAAAAAAATATCTCCACTCAGTATCCAACCACAAGCCTCTAATTAGTCTACAAGAGGTTTGTTATGTACGAGTGCATTGCATAAAGAGGGGCAATCAGTGAGAGAGTGGAATATGGCCAATTAATGAAGAGTTAAATTGGGCGGATTGTAGTTTACCTCGTACCGCTAAATGTATAAAGAGACACACTAGCATTTACCAAATCCCAAAAAAGATGCAACACATAATTATGTTTAAATTGCGTGAACTCAAGGCATGATAAGGATTTTAGAAGCAGAAGCAGATGAAAATAAAATATAAAATCAAGTAAAACAAAGAACCGCCACTGAGATAGACAATTATCAAAGGCCCAACCTAATGACAATCCGGAACTCAGTATCAATTATCAACAAACTAGGTGCCATGGGTCATGTACAAGCCCACTTTTGAATGTTATTTAAAAGCCTGCAAAAATCAATGATCAGACCCAGTCCAACTAGAATTAGTCCTAAACGCACCATTAATACATAAACACAAATTAAGGAGACCTCTCCATCCGATTCGATTGAAATTCTGTCTTCTTCATCTTCTTCCTCAATCCTCTGGGCGAGACGAACACAACATATCAGGAAACCTTAATTTCATCGAGAGATAGAAGTTATTTTGCCAATGATAATAACGCTAAGACAAGATGACAAAGCACTAGCGACATGAACCCTAGGGTTAGCAAACCTCTTTCAAGGGTTCTTTTGCAAATGAAAAGTTTGATGAACACAATAATAGACATGGTCGCCGTAATCGTGTTAGAAAGAGATAGGTGAGTAAATTCCTCTTGAAAATAAAATGGCGAGGAACAAAACGCCGATTTGTGGATACAAGGATTTGGGGTTCAAAACGATGATTATGTGAGGATTTCATATTGGATGGGGATCTTCTCTTCGAATGTGGATACATAGATTTGGGGTATGAAACATGATGATGTTGGGGATTTGAGATTGGATAGGGAGCTAAATCGAATGTGGATCAAATAATAAAAGGATTTGGGTTTCGAAACGATGATTTTGTTGGAGATTTCAGATTTGATAGGCAGCTTATGATCGAACTTCGAACTAAGAGGGGACCCTCCAAGACGAATGAGGGATCGTAGAAGGGAGACTGGAAATTGGTTAGGGCGGCGGGTCGTATCCATAGGGTTTAACCTCTTAATCGATATAATTAAACTGGGTACAGTTAGGTTGAAGTCCAATGAAAAAAGCTTTAACGCTTCGAGATGCTTTTGGTAATTTTCCTTGCCCCCGGTCTTTCGTACCCCGAATTTGAATTTTGCTTGGGCACCCTAGAAACTGCCCATATATATATATACATACATATATGGTTCAGGCTAGCATACACCCGGTGTACGCTATACACCTGTGTTCACACATATTAATTATTTACTAATTTTAATTAATTAATTAATTTTAATAAAATTACAATACACCCCCCAAAATCAAATAACATATTCATTTTCACCTAATTTTTAACTTATAGGTTATAACATCCTATTTCACTTATCTCATTTGCAGGGAGTGCTTTGATCGTAATCAGGGAGAAGGATGTCGACCAATATGAGTTTGTGTGAAACGGACTGAGAATTTGGTAGATCAAAATTAAAAGACGTAATTGGATGAAGATTCAAATCCTGAAAAGTCATCAACAACATCACCGAATGTGCTGCGCCTCCATCCACTACGGGTCCCCTGCGGTACGAGCCACAGCTTCGGAGCAGTGGAATATTCAGTTCTCGCCGTTGGGTGGTGATAACGAAGCTGGTAGCTTTGAAGAACGCAAGAGCACCTTTGGGCATGGACGGTCGCTGATGCCGGAATCGGATATCAAATCTGAATTTAGTCTAGAATCCTGGAAATTTTAGGACATTTGGGAATAACTTACTCCCGGTAGTGATTACAAATAGGAATGCATAGAGGGGTTTCTAGGTCAAACATATATTCGCCATCGCCGGTACTGACTCACATCCCGGCTTCTGCAAAGACAGACTTTTTCCTTCGTTGTTCCCTGCTCCCATCAAAGGCCAATTTGAATAAGGGCGAAGCTTTCAATGAATAGATGATTGGATTTGGATGCAACTGTCATGGTTATTTGAATTTTGATTAAGCTTGTGCAGGTGGTCTCACTGCCATCATTGGCAAAATGTTTAGATTTCTATCTTATAAAAGAACATTGATTTATAAATCAATACATACTAGGTCAGTGAAGGTGGCTTAATACTGCATATAACATAGCTCTGTAATCCCGGAACGCACCAGAGTGAGCATGGAGGCTTTCATCGTTCATATACCCGAGCAATAATAAATCATGTTAGAGATATAATCATCTTACCGTTGATGTTTATCACTTTATCACTTTATCATTCTTAATGGGACAGGATTTTCAGACTATGATTTGGAATTTGGAGAAAGTAAGTTCTATAATTTAAATTGAGGTGTGCTATTTGGAGAAAGGCAGTACTATAATTATAGAATGATCGACCAACACTTAAATGATTGATTTAATGTTTCAAAGGAATGATTGATTCAATAATAACGAAGGATAAAAATTGTTGGGGGCTACATTGTATAGAAAAATAAATTAACGAGTGCGGTTGTAATTATAGATTTTATTCATATTTTATTTAATTATAAAACTTGATTTACAATTAATAATTAATTAATAAGTGTGAACATAAGCGTATGGTGTACATCAGGTGTACGCTATCCTTTGCCATATATATATATATGGGGAGTTCTACGGTACCCAGTGTGAAATCCCGGGTAACGCATACCTTGAGTAAGAAAACGCTATCCAGGACTTGAATTGACTGATCTTTCGGACATGATACTATACTCTAACCCTTAAAGATCAAAATCTAGGTCTTAATTCTCTAAATCTTATCCCCCAAGATCAATTTAATTAGAAACAATAATCGACGGTTATGATTCGTCCAAATAAAGGCAAAAAAATCAATGCATCATCTTAGGATTTATAGTTTAGATTTAAATAATTAGGACCTAGGGTTCACTCATTAAGGATTAGGGTATAGTATCATGCCCAAAAATCCTGCTTATTCGAGGTCTAAATAGTGTTTTCATACTCAAGGTATGCGATACCCTCGGATTTCACCCGGGGTACCGTAGAAGGCACCATATATATATATATATATATATATATTGTTGCCCTGAATTTGCCTTGTGCAATTACGAGGTTTTGATATAGCAGCAGATAGGATGTTGTGTTAGTACCATACTAACACTTATTATAAGGGCATATTAGCGGGGCCGGCCAAGAGGGTGTGCCGGTCCGCTCTCCGACACAAGGCCTCCGAATATTAGGGGCTTCCACTTAGATCCGTTAGTTATTAATCGTATATTTAAATTTGTATTTTTATGTATGATTGATTGATTATGAGTATGATGACGAGTTTAATTAATAATTTTAGCTATAATAACAATTAAAAATGATCTCATAGATAATACGAAAAATCATAGAGACAATAAATAATTTTATTTTAAACAATATAGAAAGATATTACATTTTGAATAATGGTATTATAATCATTTTATTTTTATTATAGTTAAAAGTCAATTTGGACCACGTCTCGATTTGGGAACATGGCCTCCACGATTCATTAAACAGCCTCGCACTCATCTCTCGATCAATTTTGACTATTTTCATTTCTCCATTCAATTTTTGCGCTATATCTGTTTTCTAGTCCCTCCATATTTACTTTCCTCCCTACTAGAGTTGGAAATTTGGTCTTGGTTTCTTGATAAAACTAGAACCGGGATAGTTTATTCCTTTTGTAATCATTTTCTGGACTTATGTATTTTTTATAATTATTTAATAATTTATATTTTTAATAAATTTATGGAGAAAAAAATTTAGGGCCCATTTTAAATTTTTAAACAAGGCCTTTGAATATCATGGGACGACCGTGCATATTAGTAACTCTAATCTTTTCCTTTCTCTTTCCCCTCCCCTTCCCCTCCCCTTCCCTCTTCTTCTACAACGGGCTAGTTTGATCCTAATGTAGTTTTTGCATAAGCAACTTCTGACTGGAGCTTTTAGAGAAGTACTTTTTAGAAAAAGTTGTTGAGTGTTTGGCTGAAAAACTAAGTGTTTTTTTATATGAGAGGATATGTAAAATTACTATAAAGGATTTATACTATAAAATATGAATAAAAATTCTAAACAATAAAAAGTAGTCAAAATGGATCTTGTTAGATTTCTTTTATATTAAATAATATTTTCTGAAATAAAATTAAAATATGGTAAGGATAATCTTGTATTTTCAAAACAGTTTTTCGCAGAAACTCCAAATCGGAGCTTCTGCTTTTATGTTATACAAAAGGACTTTTCAGCTTTCAAAACTCGAGTTTTTAGAGGTTTTTGGGACTGCTTCGGCTTTTGAAGCCAAAAAGCACTTCTAAAAGCGGGGCCAAAGATAGGTGTTGCTTTCATTGGCTTCCATATACAAAGTTATAGTTTTGGTCCCTGAACTTAATGGATCTTTATATTTAGTGTCAAAAAATAATTTTTTTTACATATAAGTCCTAAAAATATTGATGAAAAAAATACATTTTAGTAACTATAAATTTTTTCTCTTACATTTTGATACCTAAACTTTTTAAAATTTACAAATAGGTTCAATGGTATGATATGTTTTAAGAAACTTGTGGTAGCTTTGATAAACTTGTGGTATGTTTTAATGAACTTGTGATATGCTTTGATAAACTTGCGGTAAGTTTTAATGAACTTATGGTAGGCTTTGATGAGCTTGTGGTAGGCTTTCATGAACTTGTGGCGGGGGAGGAGCGGCTGGAGCAGCGGTAGGTTTTTAGCGGTGGCGAGGATTGTAATTTTGAGACGGTCGCCGCTCCGGACGGCGAGGTGTTGGGTGAAGTCGAGGAGAGGGATCAAGTGATAGCAGCAGATTGCTAATTTTTATAAATGACAAGTGTGCCCTTCCATGGAAAATTTATAATTAATTGTGGTCAACACTTAAAACAAAAAAGTAATCAAAATGAAATGTTCTTATTGATCGGAGCTATTGTTAATATGGTGCTTACAAAAAAAGTGTTAGCACACTAGTCTTTTCCGTTTTGATATCTCATAATTCTGATATTTCCTAAGTGTGAGTTTTCTAGGTTTAGGTTTTTCCTAAACCTATATCTTTTTTTCTTCTTAAAAACCTAATCAGCTCCTGCGATTAGGGCAAGGGTGCGCTTTCTTTATAGCTTACAATTTCGATCAGTTTGATATCAATTATCCAGCCTTCAATATATAATTGATCTCAATTGTCCGGCTCAAGATAGGGTGCATAATTATGGGTTATGCACCCATCAATAACTAAATTTGGACCCTTCATTTAGAAAATCCAGATCTAAGGATGGAGAATTAAATGTTATTTTTATTTTCCCTTGCTTTCTTAATCGACTCATATCTTCTTCGTTTTAACTCGGATTTTAATTTTCTTTGCACAGATGGAATGTGTTCGTTGTGCTATACAAAATGAGATACATTTTCAATATTTTTTGAGAAAAAAAATTTCTTGCCTCTCGGTACCAACTGCATATCATATGGTATCTTCTTCGTTTTTAATTCATTTTTGAAAACGTTTGCATAGAAGGAACGAGTTCATCATGATCTATTGGATCTACAAATTTCTGGGTGAACAAATTACATGACTAAAAAATACCACACAATACCATATAATACCACCCTGGTACGGGGTGGTATCTTGTGGCACACAATGTTAAAAGTCGTAAATGATAGTTAATATACTTCTACTATCATGTATTCATCCATCCTACAGTCTTGGTTTGTTCATACCACCATGGTACGCTTTTAAAACCATATGTATGCTCGTATTTCAATACCAGTCAATACCATATGGTATAGACTGGTAAAAAATATATCAAAGTGGATATCATTTTGAAGAGCACAATTAATTTGATCTAACTGTGCAAAAAAAATCGACTTAAAACGAGCGAGAAATCGTTCGTCAAAGATTAAGGAGAGGAAAATTAAAATTTAAAGGTTTTCCAAGAGAAAGAGGGATGTTGATTAATGCTGATGTGGACGAGTTACTTATGGTTACTCACCATAAGATTATTGACCTGATCCGTTCCCCAATTATCCCAAAGAATAAGATACTCATCAAACTATCATTCCTATACTCCCTAAAGGATCGAGACGAAGATAACAAAATAGAAAATATTGTTGATGAGTCGTGGAGGAAGAAGATTTTGACTCAGTCATGGTCAGGGTTGTCAGTTGTGACAATTCTTGGTCTGGTAGGAAGGCTGGTTTCAGACACAAAGCCAAACATCAAATAAACAAAGATAGCTTATCCAAGGCATGGAACCTGTGACAGAAGTACGAGAGTACAGAGTTAACATACAAGCTTTTTTGCTTTTCAGTTTTTCTGAGCGAGGTGACAAAGATAAGGTAAATGGATGAACTTGGCATGATGATAATAATTTTCTTATTTCAAGCCAGCTATATATGAACTTTTTTTTACATGTGAAAATATGATGTTGGGAATTACTCATTAACCCAACAACAATAACAATAATTTAAGTAGATGTATGTTGATTTTTTAAATTTCGGTTGGAATCTACTGAATCTTTCGACCTTGATGCAGTCGTAGTGTAGGTATTATCAATGATAAACAAATTTCTTTTTTGGTAGTCATCAACATCAAATTATTGATCAATGATTTATCTTACAACTATATTGTAACACTTTAGACAAATTACTCATTAACAAAGCACGAAAGTGACCCATATGATCATAAGAAACAATTCAACCTTTAATTACAATACATATTTTGAAGTGAAATATAAATGTTCTTGTAAAAACTCTGAAAGAAAGTAATACAAAACTATTAGATCCAACCAAAACCCAGAATTCCCTTGTCCATTTTTTTTTTTTTGGGTTTCTGGTAGAAAAGCAGTTTATTCATGTCGACAAAAGAACAAGAAATTGTACAGTTAAGTACTCTGCAAAAACAGAATTTGGAAAAAGAGAAACCTTGTAAGTGGGGTTAATAGTCTTAATGGGGATAAGGATCACTGGAAACCCTCTTTCTTACCCAATTGGTCCTATGATCAATTATTGGGCACAAGAGAAATTAGATTGGAGGCCTGCCTTGTTGTAAGTTCTGGGAAAGATCGTACTGCTCTGTCTCTATCACAACTACTACTGGTAATGAGATTCAACTGTTTGTGTTTTGCACTTTTCAACTTTCAGGGGGATGTGGACGCCCTCCTAATCTGTCGCTACTATTTGCCCCACTTCCCAAGCCATCCACAACACAATGGAATGGCGACGAATGGAATGGTCCTCTATTTGGGTAAGGGTTTGAGAGGTTTTTGTCCGATCAGATATATTTCAGTTCGGTTTTGGTTATTAGAATTATTTTAAGTATGAAGAAAAAATGGAAAGAAATTGAATTTGTATCGGCTTTGGTCCTCGTTTTCTTTTGTTTTTTGTCCGATTGTATATATTTCGATTTGGTTTTGGTCCTAAGAGTTATTTAAAGTATGATGAAAAAATGGAACGAAATTGAACCCGTTCTGGTCCTCGTTTTCCTTTGTTTTTTTGTTTGATCCTATCTTAATTCGATCCGATTCCGGACCTATGCTCACCCCTAAATGTAAGGCGAGTCATTCCGACATGTGATTAGTAGAATTATTATATGAAAAGGTAAGGAGTCGTGTGGATGAGGAATTCTAACGGATCAATTTGAACCAATTGTTTCATTATGAGACAATTTGGCGAAATTGATCGTTTGTCAGCATAAAATTTGGATGAAGCAAATTCTACATGAGAAATTTCAAATTGACTTGTTTTGAGGCAATTACAATTGTTTGGGGTGGGGGCAGACAATTCGAATTAACTCGTTTTAAATGACACATTTTATAAAATGAGACAATAATTAACCAAACTGTCTCGCTTTTCAATTGATCCATCCAAACATGAAGGAAAAATGTTTTCTCAACCAAAAAGAATTTTTTTTATATAATTGGAAGTTTAAATCATTTAAGAAATGAAGGCTTGCACTGAATCACAAGTCTATAGAGGAGTGAAAACAACACATATATGAATCTATTAATGAAGATTGAGATGCAACGGATTAATAACAAGTAGGGGTGTTCAAATGGTTACCATGGTTATAACCAAACTAAATAAGGCTAAATTCCATTAACCATGGAATACAATATCATAACCAAACCGTCCAAACTAATACAACAACCAAATTAACCAAACTAAAGTTTAATCGGTTTGGTTAATTGGTTAACCAAATTAACCAATATAAAATCACATTATCATTGACGATGAAAATTTTCCGGTTAATGCAATAATTCGCAATTTATAAGAATGCTATCCCAGGCCTCAGCAATCTCTAGTTGGGTTTTTTCGTCTCTTTTGTCTTCTTCTCTTTTGTTCTCTTGTTTTTTTTTTCCTCTGTATAATTTGAAAGTGTGAATTCCGTATTTTTACACATCCACGTTCTAAATCTTCTTTTCATCAGTTCGGGGATATCAAAAGAAAAGAAAAAAAAAGATTTGTCTATTCTGTCCAAAAAAAGAGGAGAATGAACATTTGCTTGAACAAGGAATCTATTGATTCTCTCCCAATTGGTTAATTGGTTGGACCGTAGGTGCGATGATTTACTTCACGGGCGAGGTCTCTGGTTCAAGTCCAGGATGGCCCAGCTGGGCAAAGAAAAGAATAGAAGAAGCATCTGACTCCTTCATGCATGTTCCACTTGGCTCGGGGGGATATAGCTCAGTTGGTAGAGCTCCGCTCTTGCAATTGGGTCGTTGCGATTACGGGTTGGATGTCTAATTGTCCATGAATAAAACATAACAACCAACACGTAGTTATAGTTGACCCTTAACAAAAATACATGCAACTAAGACAATTATCTTACGATTAGTATAGAAGTATTCACCTAACAAAAATTAATGACAATAGTATGGGTTAATGAATTGTTGTGTTTGTGTAAATTGACTTAGTCTCTTAGCAATTATCATAGGCTGGAAATGACCTTCCTTTCAAGTTTTCATCCATCATAATGTATGAAATTTATCTAAATTAGGCGTCCATATGTTGTGGTCTACATTTTACATATACAAATATACAATATATGAGCAATATTGAGCTTTATATTTTATGAGTCTAAAAGGGATGAACGTTAACTCTTGATTGGTTATGCAAAGTATTAAGTATGTGTATATAATATGTTAGATATATGACTAATTACTTAACTGGTTAATTTGGTTTGACTGGTTAGGAGTGTCTGAAACCAAACCAAACCACATAAACCAAACAAGCTAAAAACTTTAACCAAACCAAACCAATTATCCAAATTAACCAAACCAAATTATTCAAATAGTACCGGTTAAAACGGTTACCATGGTAATCAAACCGTTTGAACACCCCTAATAACAAGAGAAGATGAAATAAGATAGGGCAGAAATAAATCCCACCTTTTTCTCCAAAGACCAAATAGTACCAGCACAGAATAAATTGTGAAAAAGATATTTCCAAGAGCCCAGTCAAAATCATCATAAACAAGATAATGAAACCCTAGAGCAAAATTTAAGAATTATAAAATCGTATTAGAAGCGTATTTTGGCAAGGTTATTACAAAGAGTTGGGAGTCCTGGGAGGACTGCAAAAAGGTTTCTGTTGGTACCATATTTCCAAAGTTGACATAAACGATGTCAAAAATTTCAAAAATAATAGTGTAGAGAGGAGGACCACGACCGACGTTTGCAGGAATTGGAAAGTAACCGATATTCGAATTAATTTGTATCCCTAGTTAGTAGTTACATTATGTTGCCATACATTTTCACGATGAATATTTGGCGTTTTCAATCTTTTTATTTATTTTATAGGGATGGTTATCTATAATATTGGTGGTTATTTCTAAATTAGTAAATTTACATCGCCACTTGATTCCTTTCTTTGAAACTCCTCTTTTGGTTGGTGAACATATTATATAGTTTAGCACCAGTATTTGTAAAACCATACTATACCAGCGGTTCGGCTGGAAAAATGTAGTATTGGAGGCTAAACCGGTAGATGAAACCACAGTTGAACCACGATTTCAATATAAATATCATATCGTTGACTTTTTCAGTACAACATCCGGAACAATTTTACGATTTTTCGTAGCACGTTGATTCCGAGAGTAAGACAATTAAAATTTTGTTGTTCATACACAGAAATGTCAGTATACAAATTTTAGGTACCAAAACATAAAATTTTGAAAATTTCATTAAAAATTGAAATGTACTTATCAAATTGAAAAATATTAAATATATAGGTTCAAAATTATGAATTTTCAACAATTCATAAATCCACCATTTTTTTATTAAAGGAATTCAACTAGTCCACTTTCAACTCCATCATCTTTTGCCAAATGTCACATAGCCCAACTAGTGAAATTCTCGAGAGACCCTCGACCGGGAAATGTGAGTTCCCGTGTTCAACCCACGTCGAGGCCAGTTGTGGTGTTCCCGAAGACACTAAAAAAGGATCTTAGCGAAAAGCCCAAACGGCTCGAGTAGGTGAACCCCTAGATTTGATCTCGTTCCACCATCGCTCAAGCGATATGTATACTTATAGATGTTCCTAAGTAATAAAAAAAAACCTCCTATCATCTTTTACTGTTTATTTCCCCATCATTTCGTCCCACCATACACTTATGTGAGCTTGACTAGTTTCTTTTGTCATATATGTTACAACATTAACTCACATGTTTCCATATGGAAAAGGACAATGAATTTTGTTGGTTGCCAATGTTAAGATATCTTAATCGAAGGTGGTACAAGAAAAGAAGATGTCCTTCAAACGAAGGTGAAGGGTGAGAGAGATTGGCATTTGGCAAAGCGAAGAATGTCGACCAACCCCGTCTCTCTCTCATCTCATCACATTCACAAATCACAACGAAGAAGAAGAAGAAGAAGAAGAAGAAGAAGAAGAAGAAGAAGAAGTGGGGCCGTAGCTGCCGCTGCTAATAGTGACGACGACAAGTGACAAGTCCAAAACCAACAACCACACCGCAGCCAGCGATGATGGTTTTGCGTTTGCCTGCTGGGTATGCCATTGCCAGTTTGCCACCCTGTCGTGCTTGTTGAATCTTCATTTTTTGCTCTAAAAGATATAATAAATATCTCCTTCTTAACATCCCACACGCCATTGATTGCCGTTCCGTTAATTCATTGGTATCCCCATCTCTAATCCTAATTAATATATACCGTCGGAAGATTAACCCACCCTTTTAACAAAATCCTCAGTCCTTATCCACTTAATTAATAGAGGTTAATTACGTTGCAATTCCTTCACCTGTTGTCACGATATACATAAATCTAACAATAATAACATTCTTCTCTTGTATTTCCTATACTCGATTGCGAATAATGCATAGTATATCAATTTGAAATGGTACAATTTTCATACAAAGAGGAAACTGTTCGGCACATATTTCCTTTTTATGAGTACCAAATGTGATTATTGTTAGTGCAAATAGTTCACTTATGTGCACTTGTGCATTAAGTTTTAGATCTTTGTGGCAGCTCCCTTCTCTGATTTGGGCTCGGATTAAGTAGCGGGGGTTGTAGGGTTGGGAACTCAATCGTCTTTGTGCTATGAACTAGTTTTGACAATCATTGTCAAGGAAATTAACCACATATTTCTTGTATTGTTTGTGTTTTTTTATTGTTTATCTATCAAGTTATTAGTGAAAGAGAGCACGTTCAGTTGAAATATTACAGGGTTATAGTCGCTAATTATTTTTTTTAATTTAGTCACCGAATTTTTTTTGTCTAATCATATGAATTAATTGAAGAAAAGCAAGATCGTGATGAAACGAACTTCATTATCGCTTTGAGTTTAAATCAAATAACATGTAATTATTTGATATAATGTAAAATAATCGAAGACGAAGAAGAACAATTCCATAATCCACATGATGTATGTGGCTCAATCAAGATAACTCTACATACATGGAGTGATTCATTTTCTTATCATCTAGAAGGTTTTTTTCATTCGGATGCATATACATTATATAGTTTGCAAATAAATTCACAATAAGTTCATAAATAAATTTTAACAAATATATGCAAATCTTACAATTTTTTTTGAATATGTTCATTTTCATAATAAGTATTACAAAGATGATTGTTATTCATCGCCCAAATTTTACTAATCGTCAGCCATAAGTTGATGTAAAAAGTCTTAAATGCCATTAATGAATATCACATTCTCATAACCTAAATATCATATTCTAAGCATAAATATCATATTTTCATAACATGAATACGAGATTCATTAAGAGCATTGAAGAATTTTTACATCAATTTAGAGCGACGATTAGTAAAAAGTAGGGCGACGAATAGCAAAGCATGTTACGAATACTTATTGTTAATTATTTTGTAATCACTTTTAGACTATTAGAAGTATTTGAAGATAAGGGGAGTACTGTAACATAACATGTAGAGACTAGAGAGTCACCTTCACACAATAAATTCTGTCTCTTGGGAATTTTAAGATTATACAATCGAGACAAGTTGGCAATTAGCTCTGTCTATCCATCTATCATTGTTGTTCCCACTTGCTGTTTTTAATTTCTCCATTCTCAAGGCTTTATAATAGTCTTTCTCCATCAGAGGAGTTATTCTTGGAGGAAAAAAAAAGATAGTCTCTCTCTCTAGTAAGCGCCTGATTCTTTCTTCATTCACAGAAAAGCTAATACCTGGAGAAAATAGCTTGGAGGGAGTTTGATACGGAGTAGGTAACGCCGAAACCAAAACCAAGACCCTGCCTTCTCCGTTTCGTTCGCCCAAGTTTCCTTCTTTCTTATCCTTTTGCATTGTTTTGGAAATTTTATGATGTGGTCAGTTGCCTGTGACAAGATCAGCTGTATGACGACCACGACGGCGGAAAATTCCTCGCAGACGTGGGGTTTCTTCCGTGAAGGGAAGTAAAATTCATTTTCTGGGTCAGATTTTGCTTCCAGCAGTTTTGTCCGGAGACGGTGAAAAGATTGTAGAAATGGATCCAAGGAAGGGAGGAACTGGTCAAAATTCTGGCAATGGGGTTGCTTTGGAGATGGGAAAGGAATCATCAGATTCGGGGAAGGCAGCGATTGGTAAAGAAGAAGGAGCCGAGGGAGAGGGGGTTAGTCGGAATCTTACTGATTCAGTTCATGTTGTCGAGCTACAGAGCTCAGCCGTGGTAGATTCCAGCAGCTTGTCCGCGAGCGTCAGTGGAGAAAACAGGAATTTGGAAGCGAAAGGCGATGACTTGCGGCTCACTGTGGTTGCGACAAACCAGCAAACAGGTGGTGGGCATGGAGAAAGCGAGGCATTGGATAAAGGCGGCCAAGGAAGCGGCGGGAACCACAATGCGCACGGAGATAGAGTTGTGCCTGAGACGGTAATTTCCATGGAAAACTCCGTTGATAATGGGGAAAGCTTTGTTGTCAAGAGCAACAAGGCTAACGCGGCGGATAACTTGAAGGCGATAGTGCCGAAGGGGGAGAAGAAGACTTCATGCGTGATTGATGTGAAGTGTGATGTTGGGAATTTGAAGGATAACTGTGACAGGGAGAAGGTTTGCAGAATTTGTCATTTGAGTTCTGATGGGTCGATTGAAGTCCCCACTGCAGGGCCTGGTGTGACTGTGACTTCCATGGAGCTCATTCAGCTCGGTTGTGGATGTAAAGATGAGCTCGGTGTTTCACATTCTCACTGTGCCGAAGCCTGGTTCAGGCTCAAAGGAAACAGGTAAACAGATTATGCTCTCTTGTCATATACTGTAGTTGGCATTCTCACAAATGGGAGATGTTAGGGTCTCATCTCTCATGTATTGTTTGAACCCAGGAAGTGTTATGAGTATATGAGACCTCTGTCACATAATTCGTTTGCCTCATATGGTTTCTTGCCTCTTGTTTATCTTCCAAGCTGCTGTTTTTTAGTACTATAATGATTTTCAATCGTACCAAGTTCTACAGCATTGAAATTTGCATAATGTTCAGGAAACTAGTCTTTGGCTTTATCTCTTGTTGCCGTTATCTTCTGCAATTTCTTTGAATGTATGAGTTCAAATGTAGCTACATCTAATCCCAGAACTTCAGTCAGGATGCTGTCAACTTCATGAACTTAAAGCAATATCATATTGACAGACGAACTTAGCTGCTGCATTGATAGAAATTATGGAAATAAGAACTCATCTCTAGTTCTCATATTTGCAGAGTGTGCGAAATCTGTGGGGAGACAGCGAAGAACATATCAGGAATCGTAGGGGACAACCGTTTCCTGGAAGAGTGGAACAACAGGAGATTTCTGCACGGAGGTGGCGGGAATTCGTCGGAGAGAGTTGGAGGATGTTGGAGAGGACAACCATTCTGCAACTTCCTGATGGCGTGCCTCGTAATCGCCTTCGTGCTGCCATGGTTCTTCCGTGTAAATATGTTCTGAGCCAGCTGTGCGGAGGGGGCCGCCATGGATTACCAATCTCATTGAAGCTGGGAATTCTCTGGCCGGAGGCTGGGAAGAGCTGGAGAAATTGATATTTCTTTTGGTCTCCTGTGGGGAATTTGTGTATAGCCTAGGCAACAACACTTCAGTTGGTAGTTTGTTTTCGCTACATACGGGCAGTATAGAGTGCTTGAACAACCTGCTTTTGTTCTTTTCCTTTACTTTGCTATTTAACACATGGAAAGTGGAAACTCAGATACTCGCGCAATCTCAGAACCACATGATAGTTGGTATATAGAAGTTTGGTTGAATGCTAATGTGGTCTTCTTTTCACTTACTTCTCTGTTCTTTTCCCGCTGGAAGGATCTTTTTACTGAATTGGCAAAAAAGGTAACTGCCATGTCCATGTGCCTCTGCTTGTCTATATAAGAGCAATCCAGATCGAGTATGTTCAATGCTGTGATGTAAAGTGGTTGTTCGGAAAGCGACTGCACAATGTGATCTGGCTGGTTGGATATTAAATTAAATCAAAAGATATGATGAATATGATTAATCTAAATCAACAATAAATCCGTTGTAGTCTAGTTGGTCAGGATATTCGGCTCTCACCCGAAAGACCCGGGTTCAAGTCCCGGCAACGGAAATCCGAAATTTTTTTACCTTTTTCTGATCCTTTTATTAGGCCCACTTCAAAGTTCCATGTTGGGCCGGCCCACAATGAAAACCCTAACCCTAGCCGCCCCCATTTTCATATAATTCCTTTTCAACTTCTCAGTTCTTAGGGTCTCGGCGTCGGCGGCAAAGAGACATCACATTCTTCTCTTCCTCCCCCGTTGCGCACTCCCATTCTCATCGCCGTCAAAATGGTATCGCTCTTCCTCTGGTTCTCTTGTTTGATTGGTGTCTCTTTACCTGCTTTTGGATATGCTGTATTATTCTCATTCTCTCTGGTCGAAATGCCTGGTTACTTTAGGTTGACGATAAGAAGCTTTCCAACCCCATGAGGGAAATCAAAGTCCAGAAGTTGGTACTCAACATCTCCGTTGGAGAAAGCGGCGATCGTCTCACCCGTGCCGCAAAGGTTTGCTTTCTCTCTGCCAGCTTTCGCTTGCTCTAGTCTCTTAGCGGTTTCCTCTTCTGTTCCTGCTTAATCATATATATATATATATATATATATTCGTTTATCTTACTCGCAGGTGCTGGAGCAACTCAGCGGACAAACCCCAGTGTATTCCAAGGGTATGCTTTAAGTTAGGATTTTAATAGCAATATATGATTGGGAGTTCTTCTTGATTTGTATTTGTTGTGGAGGGGTTTTAATGAGAGGTAGAACGAATTGGGTTTTTGCAGCTAGGTATACTGTTAGGTCTTTTGGGATCAGGCGTAATGAGAAAATAGCTTGCTATGTGACCGTGAGGGGCGACAAGGCAATGCAGCTGCTGGAGAGCGGTCTGAAAGTGAAGGAGTATGAGCTCCTGAGGAGGAACTTCAGCGACACTGGATGCTTTGGTTTCGGTATCCAGGAGCATATTGATCTTGGAATCAAGTGAGTTTCATTCGTCTAATCTTATGTTTACTGTTTCATGCCCATTTTAGAAGTTAAGGGATGTGAACAGTACATAAAGAATCAGTGAAGCTGTAAATGCATTGTTGTTGAGTAGCTTCCATCAAGCAAATCTTGAGTGTGTAGACAATTGCGAGGCTGCCTGGACTACCGACTTGATTTATGAAATCACTATGTTCTCAAAATTGCATGACATAGTTGGCCTATTGGTAATGTCACTGGGCTTCAACAATTGAGTTACCTATTAGGGCATTATATAGACAAGCTGTGCAAATCATTCTCATTGGGGCAATAGTTATTTTTTAACTTTTCTTTTGATATGAATAGTGTCAGATTCCTACTGCTATTAGGTTATCTTGTTAGTCTGTTTCTTCATGTTGTTACTATCATAATTACAATGTCTTGCTCATCTTCTTTCTTGTTTAAGTTGTTCCCTGCTAATTAGACCTTCTGTCTCATAACTGATTGTGTTGTTCATTATATCATGCAGATATGATCCATCAACTGGTATTTATGGTATGGACTTCTTTGTTGTCCTTGAGCGCCCGGGATACAGAGTGGCTCGTCGCCGCAGGTGCAAGGCACGTGTTGGGATCCAACACAGAGTTACAAAGGAAGATGCCATGAAGTGGTTCCAGGTCAAATATGAAGGAGTTATTCTTAACAAGGCCCAAAACATCGGATCTTAAGTCATTTCTTCACTGATCTGCTCAAATTTGGGATAGTTGTATTTCCTTTTCACAGGCTTCCTGAGATTTGGAAGTTTTGAATATTCTGGGAGAGATTTTGAATCGCTGGTAGCTGAAGTGTTACATTACCTCTTTTGTTTGGTCCATCAATACATTCGGGTTGTCAAATTATGACGTATATTTAGCAGCTCGATCCAAGAATGGTAGGTACATTGGTCTGAAAAATCTCGACAGTTAGTTTTAACAGTTGCTGTATTTCAGGAATTCAACAAGCTCTCTTTTCTTCAACTTGGAGTACCCTTTCACTCCCCTTGACTTGGCCAGTTCCTTCAGCTGAGCCAGCTTCATTTGCTCTAGTTTTTGGTTTTCCAACTTGTCACCTTGTGTTGCTGAGTTTCCATCATCGAGCTCATTATCCATTACCCTGGGAGCCGACGTAGATGGTATTGGCGACCTTCTCATGAAGTTAGTTGGTGGTCGATTCGTCTTGAACTCTGCTATTCCCCCTTGCACAGTGCTTTGTGAAACCTGCTTCTCCAGCATTCCTTGCTTCCGCTTTGTTTCCTCCTGCTTCACTTTCTCCTTGTTCTTAGCCTTCCCTGCAGAAGTTAGACAAACTTTACAGTGCCTTGCTTGTACTAATGGAGTTGTGGCGTTTCCACTGATTATGATAAGTCAAAAGAACCAAAGGGGCTGAGAAGGGCAGTAAATTCGCATTCTGAAAAGATTTCATTTTCACCTGAAACAGAGTGGATTGTTGCCCTTTTCTTCTGCGATGAGGCGTCCTCGGCGCTTCCACGGGATTCTGTTGAAGAGATTGCAATCCGTATCCGTCTAAAAAGGGCTATAATCTCCTTTTCTCGTGACGAATTGGTTGCTTTCCTCTCTTGTTTTTTGCTCATCCTGTTGCTGCTTATTCTATTGCCTGAGCCCAGAACTTTTGGAGAAGCAAATGCGAAAGACCCATCACCTGCCACTCAACCAAACTTCATCAAGGAATGAACTAATCGAGTTGGTATATCATTAGTTAGTTCATTACAGGGGCAGAAATCCAACAGAATACCTTTCGAAGGTGCAGAGTAAAAGGAAATCTTCTGAAGCCTGACGCATTTGGACGATGAAAAATGGGGGAGGCGAATTGCAGGGCCACCATAGGAAGAAGAAGCTGCTGCGTCCATGAATTTTAGAACTTGTATTCCCGATTCTGAAGATGTGATCAGAAATGGACTCCCAATGTCCCAGGGATTGAAGTATCGTCACCTGAAGCGACTAGTGGCTCTGTTTTCACTCCTTCAAACTCATAAAGGCCACGTCTTGATCAAACACGTGCTAAACACGCGCTGGTTTCGTAGCTGCCGGAAGCCGTTGAGACTTGAGGGTATTTCTGTTTTTCTCTGGGTTCCGAGTTCAACACTCCCACTTCCATTTCTTAGCTAATTGTCCGTTGGAAATTTTCCGCCTTCAACTTTCATGGTGGCTTTTCCATGGCCGTGATTGCATCTGCAAACTGCTTCGTCTCTCCTTGGCAAAGTATCCATGGCCAAAACCGAATCAAATTTAGGAATTCATTCACTTTCCACAACCCAATCGCAGAACCAGCTCTGGTATCATCCACTCTGACCTGCTCTTATGCAACGATTCCGGTCCCCAAATCGTTTGCCGATCCCAAAGATAATGAATTTGTGGATTTCAACACGAAGATATGCCAATTTTGTGAGATGGGCAATTTGAAGAAAGCCATGGAATGGTTCCGCCTGTCGGAAAAACCCAGCATTTCATCGAGCACTTACTGTGCAGTTTTGCAGCTCTGTGCCGAGCTCAAGTCTCTGCAAGATGGCAAAGAAGTTCATTCGGTCATTTCCTGTAACGACGTTCAGGTTAATGGCATTTTAGGGACGAGGCTTGTATTTATGTACGTAAGCTGCGGGGAACTAAGGCAAGGGAGATTGGTTTTTGACCAGGTTGTAAATGAGAAGGTCTTCCTTTGGAATCTAATGATTAACGAGTACGCCAAAGTCGAAGACTTTGCAGAATGTGTATATCTATTTCAGAAGATGTTGAATGCAGGGATTGCAGCGGACTCCTACACTTTCTCATGCATATTGAAATGCTTTGCCGCTTCAGGGAGTGTGAAGAACGGCGAGTGGCTACATGGGTACTTGCTGAAATTGGATCTCGCTGCTTGCAGTTGCAGCGTTGTTAATTCTTTGTTATCATTTTACGCGAAGGTAGGGAGGGTGGAGAGTGCACGGAAGCTGTTCGACGAATTGCCTCAAAGAGATGTCGTTTCTTGGAACTCCATGATCAGTGGGTACGTGGCTAATGGTGGTTCAGAGGAAGGGCTTGAGGTTTTCAAACTAATGGTATCTTCAGGAGTCGAGATCGACTTGGCGTCAGCAGTTATTGTTCTCTCGGCTTGTGCTAGTTGCAGTGATCTTTCTCTCGGTAGATCAGTTCACTCTTTTGGGATAAAGCTCCATTTTAACAAAGAAACCAAGTTCTGCAACATACTGTTGGACATGTATTCCAAATGTGGCGATTTGGCTGCAGCCAGTAGAGTCTTTGAGAAGACTTCCGAACGAAGCGTGGTATCTTGGACTTCCATGATCCAAGCCTATTCTCGATCAGGTCTTCTTCATGACGCCATCAGATTGTTCCATGAAATGACGAGTTCGGGTACTAAACCGGATATTTTCACGCTCTCTGCTGTTCTTCATGCTTGTGCTTCTTCAGGCTCATTGGAATCCGGCAAAAGTGTCCATAATTACATCACGGAGCAAGGGCTAGAATCGAACTTATTTGTCTGCAACGCCCTGATGGACATGTATGCGAAATGTGGAAGCATGGAAGACGCGAGCTTGGTCTTCTCCCAGATGCCGGTAAAGGACATCATCTCATGGAACACAATCATAGGAGGGTACACCAAAAATGATCTGCCAAATGAAGCGGTTCATCACTTTGCCACAATGGTAAGCGGAAAATGGGAACCAGATGGTAGGACTATATCGTGCATTCTCCCAGCTTGCGCCAGCTTATCAGCTCTAAACATGGGAAGACAGATCCACTGTCACGTACTAAGAAATGGGCATCACCTCTCTGATGATCGACACATCGCCAATGCACTTGTCGACATGTACATTAAGTGCGGTGCACTTGTTCTTGCAAGGTCACTATTTGATACAATGATTCCTTCTAAAGATCTCGTCTCGTGGACCGTGATGATCGCTGGTTATGGAATGCATGGATTTGGAAAGGAAGCGATCAGAGCATTTGAAGAAATGAGGCGAGAGGGAATTAAACCGGATGGAGTCTCATTCATATCGGTTTTGTATGCTTGCAGCCATTCCGGGTTAGTCAATGAAGGATGGAGATTCTTCAACATCATGCAGAAGGAATGCAAGATAGAGCCGAGTTTAGAGCATTATGCCTGCATGGTGGATCTTCTATCCCGCAGTGGGAAGCTACAGATGGCCTATGAGTTCATCAAGGGGATGCCAATAAAACCGGACGCCACAATCTGGGGAGCTTTGCTTTGTGGATGTAGGATTCACCATGACGTGAAATTAGCCGAGAGAGTTGCAGAACATGTATTTGAATTAGAACCAGAGAATGCAGGATACTATGTTCTGTTAGCAAATATATACGCAGAGGCAGAGAAATGGGAGGAAGTGAAGAAGCTGAGAGTGAAAATTGGTCGACGGGGTTTAAAGAAGCATCCAGGTTGTAGCTGGATAGAGGTTAAGGGGAAAGTTCATGTGTTTGTTGCTAAAGATGGTTCACACCCGGAAGTCAGAAAGATTGAGGCTCTGTTGAGGAAGGTAAGGGAAGGAATGAAGAAAGAAGGTTTCTCTCCTAAGCTTAGATACGCCTTGATGAATGGAGATGATCTAGAGAAGGAAATGGCTCTGTGTGGGCACAGTGAGAAGTTAGCCATGGGGTTTGGGATCCTGAACTTGCCACCTGGGAAGACGGTAAGAGTAATGAAGAACTTGAGAGTTTGCAGGGATTGTCACGAGATGGCTAAGTTCATGTCCAAGACTACAGGGAGGGAGATTATCTTGCGAGATTCCAATTTTTTCCACCATTTCAAGGATGGATCTTGTTCCTGCAGAGGTTTCTGGTAGGCATGGGCCATTTGATAACCAGTGAATGTTCATTGGTTGTTGATAATTCATCATTTTTGTAGTAGTCTAAATCTAGTACAAGAATCATGTTTATCAGCCCAATGCATTTTCGAAACACATGTTATCATGTGTTCAGAAATCTCGACGATGCGTCGAGTTTGTCTGAGGTGCAGCATTACCATCCGTATAAATCAAAGATGATCTTTCAACGTTACATTCTTATAGTTCAGTGTACAAGATACATGATTGCATGTACTCAACCAGGTGCCCCCTAAGGTTGATAGATAATGCCTATTCCTGTGGAAATGAGTGAACACCAGGCTCAGAAGTTGCAGAGCAGAGCAATCAAACTATTCAGAACTGATTCTCCATGTTTCGAACTATGAACACATACAGAGCATTCATTTTCACAGGATCTGGAGGTTCACTTTCTGTACCAAAGTGGCAGAGGATTTGCTGGGTGGTTGGGAGGTGCCCAAGAATTCATCACATGGTGTGTAATAATGATGGAACTCAATTGTAGTAAAATAAGAAAAATTCGTAAACATCATGACAATGGTTGTTGGAAGTGCCACTTATGATTTGGTTTTGTTGCTTGCACTCATAAAACTCCAATTATAAGGAGTGGGAGCCTGGCTAGCTGTATATCATATCATACCTTAACTGCTACTTATTTGATTTCACCCACAGCTACATCTTAAAGGTTGGTTGAGCCCACATTGTGAACACTAACAAGAAATTGCCCTAGCTTCCAGCTCCGCTCACAGAGAAGCAATCTCCCCCAAAGATCTTGGAAAATACATGTGCAGTTTCATGGAGAAAGTACAACCGTAATTGCAGAAAACTTGCTGAGAAGTGATCAGTAGTAGTCGAAATATCAGTATCTATCTGCCTTCCATGATAGTCAATCTTAATATGACTTATCAAGCTGACGTGCTGGACGATCATCTCGCATGTGCTCTCTCAGCTATCGAATTAGTGCAGTAGCATTGTTAACAAAAGAGTCACCAAGCTCGATCGAACGATTGAAAAATTGTTGGAGGCTAATCCAACAATGTCAATATATGCTGATCGGTCACATAAACATAATTGCCAGATTTGGACAGAAGAGAGCAAATGGTCTTAATGTTCCTTTGACTAAAAATAAGAACAAGGGTCAAGGTCTGGTGCTGGAGAAATCAACAACAGTCAACTCTATAGATCCAATCCTTCTCATTATATGAGAGAATTTACAGCTAATTTTCCCAATAACTCAACACTCCAGTAAGACAGTAACTGGGAACAGAGAAACATTCCACTGTTCTACGGAACAATCCATGACCAGTCTCTGTTCAAGACCCTTCCATTTCATGTCGATTTTGTTCTTTCTCAACGTATACATTAATTAATCAACAAATAGTGAAAATTAGCACAGACAAAACATAGTATCCAATTAACAAATCTTCCCCCTGATCTAACAGTTCTAAACAGACAAACACAAAAGGGGAAAAAATACAGTGGTAATACGTTTTTTTTTTTTTGTTTGGGTTTCTCAGGTGCATCTCTTGGACAGAAGAATAAGGAAAACAATGAGGAACACAATGGAAGAGAGGGCAATCGCAAGCCCTAGAACAACCTTATTCGGCCCATGATGACCCTCTTTCTTGCTACTCGATCCGTCGTCGTCTCCATCGTCGTAATCCGACGAGTCGTCGTCACCCCCTGAAGTCAGATCCTTCGACGGCGGCGGGGACATGGGCAATCCGTGCTTGTCGCACTGAGCAATCCCTAGCTTCAACTTGGACGACAAGCTCGTGTGGTTGTAGCACAAATTGTCGTTACCCCTGATTTTGAAAACCTCCAATCTCTTGAGAAACGAGGCATTGAACGGCAAAATGCCGTGGAAGCCATTGTTGGCGAGATTCAAGTGCTTGAGATGCTTCATGTCGGTCAAGAACTTGGGGATTGTGCCATTGAACTGGTTCGAACTCAGATCGAGATGCTCCAACCCTGGAATAGCCGAAATGGAATCCGGGATCGACCCGGACAACGAATTGGACGCCAGCGACACATTCTTCAGCGAAATCAAGTCCCCGAAGTTCGCCGGCAGCTCCCCGGCGAGCGAATTGGAGGAGAGATTGAGGCTTTCTAGATTCTCGAGGATTGCAATTGAACTGGGTATCCTACCCTTAAGCCTGTTACCCGAAAGATCCACATGGGTGAGATTCTCCACCAAATGCTTCGGAATCGAGCCCGTGAGATTCGCATTCGCGATGGTGAGCGACCGGAGCTCGCGCATATTCCCGATGACGACGTAGAGCCCGCTGGCGGTGACGGGGACATCGGTTACGGTAAGGTCGGTGAGGTTGGCGAAGTGGGAGAGCCAGACGCCCGTGAGGCGTTTGAGAGAATGCGCACAAGAGAAAGAGCGGAGGGCGAGGGCGAGATCTGAAGGGAAGCGGATAGGGGTAATGGGGCAGTCGGTGAAGGAGAGAGTGTGGAGGGTGGAGAGGGACTTGAGGGCGGTGAAGGAGAGGGAAACGTCGTCGGAGCAGTTGGAGAGGTGGAGGGAGACGACGTGGCGGAATGGGGATTCGGCGTCGCAGAGTGTGGCGTTGTGAGGGGAAGGCTGGGCGCAGGGGTCTTTGGCCGTGGGAATGCTGAGTGACTGCAGGGCTCGGAGCTGCTTTGGGTCGAGTGTGGAGTGAGTTGAAGTGGAAGGAGATGGGATGGTCTTGGGAGGAGGGACGGTGGCCGGGGAAGAGGTTGGGGTGATAGCTGGAGCGGCGGCGGCGGGGGTGGTGGTGGATTTGCCGGCTGCGGAGGCGGTGGCGGAGGCGGAGCAGAGGAGGAGGAGGACGAGAAGGAGTGGTGGTGGTGACATTGTGTGGAGAGAGAGAGATGGTGGAAGTGAGGGAGCTTTGCTTGGGGGAGTGTGAGAATCAGTGAGTTTATTGTAGTATATGTGTAGTTTTAAGTGGGAGCTGTGCTGGCTTTTTTGGGGGTTTGGGGAAATTTGGAGAAGAAGATGAGATTTGTGGAGGGGAAGGGAAGGGACTTGTTCTTTCTGGCCTTTGGGAAGTCCCAAAATTTGTAGAAGCTAAGGTTTTTGTTGATCTACTAATGATTTCTAATAATTTCAGGGTTAGTTGGATCGATCGTGATTTTGGCTCAAAGATTTTATAAAATTGACGAGCTGTGTCTGTGAGGGTGTGAATGAATAAAGTGATTGGGTGTATTTGGGAATGATAGCATACGGGTTCATTTTGTATGAGTCATTTGTTTGTAAAATTCATGTATTTGAAAAATTCATGTATATTGTAGGTTGAGTCGTGAGAATTTGGGTAATATTAGAATGCATTGTTTGGCTTGCATGAGTTCATGGTAGAACCCACATAATTTGGCATGAAATCTCAAATACTTTGGGTAAATCCAAAGCATTTGAGATATCATGGTCACATGAATTCTAGAATTACATGATGCACCAATATCATGATATCTGTCCAAAAATGAAACAAGAAAAACAGTGAAATCACAAATATCATGTAATCTTGAAATCCGTGGATAGATTACATGCTTACCAAACGACACCTGAAATTTTTTGTCAACAAAAAGCAAAACAAGTAATTTGTGTAAATCTCTCATAATCAAGATTGTCAAACTGGTTTATACCGTTGTGCCGGTTTGGCAAGTGGAACGGTACGACCGGGGGTATAACCAGTTTGTGCTGGTTCATGCCGGTTTAAAAAAATGTGAAAACAATTAATATCCAATGTATTTAATCATATATAAAACATATTTGTGGACAATTTAGTTACAATCCAACAAATATCATCAACTTTTAACTATTACATTCATAAAATGAATAATAAACTAATTTTTTTATTCATTAAATTCATTAGAATTATGTCATTTTACTTAAAAATGCGTAAGTCGATCATACCGGTGGTATCATGCCGGTTTCATGACTGGCACAGCTTGAACGAGGTTCAACCGGATGGCATGCCACCGGCATGACAACCATGCTCATAATGTTCTTTGTTCTTGCACTCTTGTACTCAACCAAACGATAGGGGAAGAGTATGAAATAATGGACGAAAGAAGAGGGTAAGATGGTCAGTAAAAGATGTTCACCAGTGCAAACGTTTGGAGGAGAACAGAACAGAACAGAACAAGAAGTCAACAAACTCAGGAAATAGCAAGCAGTCAAAAGTTCAGTGGGTGAGGTGGCCTGCGATCCAAGGCCAAAAAGGTAAAATAAAGCATGGGTCTAATTGCTAAGTGCTTCTTCTTGTCTTAATTTAGTTAATAATGGATGGAGTCAAGTCAAGTGTGTGTGGGAACTGTGGATTAGTCAGAGCCATCCGCTGGTTAATTAGCGTTGTAAAATGGAAAGGCAGGCAGGAATTTAATTAGGCATGGGGGTGGGGTGGGTTCCTGCCGGCGGGCCCACTGGATGGCCCGAAGCTGATGATCCGAAAATAAAATGCGTGCCGTGAGAGGATTCTTTGTCTTCTTTGCCCCTTTGATTTTCTCTTATTATTAGATAGCCAAATAAAAACAGAGCACAAAGAAACAAATTTCTGTGAGTGGCCACGGGTTTCCCCTTCTCCTACGCTTCCTTTCCCTTTCCCCTACAATATGTTTGCCGCAAACGGGAAAAGGGTAAAGGCTAGGAAGATCCCAGCTCTATCATAATTTTCACCAATTTAGCTATAGGGTGGGTAGTTCACTATTCAACCCTGCTCAATCATTCTGTTTGTAATTAGAGGATTATGAAGTATGATCAAATCGATAAAAACAAGAAAGTAAATGTATTTATAGAATTTGGTAATTTACTAATGCAAAGTGTGTTAGTTAGCTGATTAGCATAAGAGATGAAGATGGTTGTTTTGAGGAATATATAAATTGTTGAGAGATTATAAGGTTTATATAGACACCTCTACTTTCTGTAGGAGTAGTTTGGAAGTTGCAATTGTTAAATAGATGTATTGTGGAGAATGCATGTATAATATTATACATGTATTGTCGAATTTGATGCATTGTAGAATACAACGTTTCGTATGTGTGATTGTGTATAGGGTGGAAGTTTGGGTTGCGGGTTGTGGATAATCCGCAAACCGCACCAACCCGCACCTATTGTGGGTAACCATACCCATAAGTTGTGGGTAGTGGGTAGTAAAATAACGAATTTTGTGGTTAGTGGTTATCCACTACCCACCACGGATAACCCACAAAATCCACAATAACCACACTAATTATATTTATTTAGTGAATTAACTTTTATAATATAATAGTATGTGAAAAGTGCGAGGATAAAAATTAAAGTAGCTACCAAATAAAAAAGACACACCTAATCAGTTTTATGTAAGAATTTTTTAGTTTATAAAACACTATAATCGATAGAGTGGAGAATAATCAATTCATTAAAAGTGAACACCTTTTATAACTTTTATCAGTTGTTTTTATTTTTGTGTGAAAAAAAAATACAAGATCATATTTAATTGTCATATTTCACCCCTAGTCGGGGAAATATAAAATCACAGCTCTCTGGCACAAAATTTAAATACCAAACTCAAAAAGAAAAAATCTCCACGTTGAGTAAGATCGATGTACAAAATTGTATCTCCACGAACAACACAAGTGCATATCACTATAATCTAGTTACGAACAACAAATACGTTGGTGGCGACTAGAACTCTATGCTTGCAAATATGGATTTTTGCGGGTAACCACACCCAACCCGTACAAACCCACACTGGGTAGTGGCTACCCACTAACCACTGCGGTGCGGGTTGTGGATAGCATAATTGTAAATTTGTGGGTGTGGGTACCCGTAAAATGTGGGGCGGGTAACCACACCCACCCCAATTTCCACCCCTAATTGTGTATGTCGCATCAACTAAAAGCCGAGACAAAACAATCCCAACTCAACTATCTCAACAATCACAACTAAAAGTTGAGATATAACAATCACTCAAAATGAGTGATAGTTTCTGTCACATCATAGAAACAATCCATGTATTGTTTCTACTAAAAAACAAAAAAACGATGCATTGTAAACAATACATGCATAATGACAATCTCAACAAAACTATCGCAACTTCCAAACGACCCCTAAGTTCTAAAGAAAAGATAAATAAAATAGGTTGAGATCAGAAAATAAAAGTGTAACATTGAGACTAGCACGACCTCGAGTTAGATCAAGTGTTTACACCTGATATTTAAGAAGTTGCTTAACTACATTGCAACTATTAGGTTTATATATATAGACAGATGAAAATATTCAAATCAACAAAGGCAAACTCAATATTGATGGTTGTCAACGTTAACTAAAAAAAGGAAAATGGAATGAAAAAGGGAATTGACGTTACTAAATTAATGGAATGTGCTGAGTTTCATTTGTAAAACGCAATCTTATGCAATGTTCTCTACACTTCTTCGTCCTCCTCATTAGCGTCAACTAGTTGAGACTAATCCAAGGTGTCATTTACTTCCTCGGGTTTTCTGTGCTTCAAGTAGTAGCGAGTGTTGATTTTCAGACAATATGCTATTAGTAGTAGAACATACACCTAGGGTTCATAGCCACTGTTAACCATGCATCCGTTCAGCTTTAACGCTGAAGCTATCCACTGTTAACATTTTCATTATCCAATGTTAATGATACGTGCTTCCAAGTGGTTAATAATCACTTAATCAATCTTTGATAAACAACACACTAAATCGTAAATAATCAATAACCAAACTATGGATAAGCAACACCGTTAATGATCAATACACGGACGATTGATACTTAAGGAATTGTTAAAAATCACTTAACATTATGGAGAGTGGGAAATTGTTAGTAACCAAAGAATATTAAAAATCAAAACAGGGGTCATTAAGAATCAACAACCAATTTTTTAAAAATATTACTAGCCTTATGTACCTATGTTTATAATTTGTGAGGCAAGCAAATTGGTGGATTACCATTTTTTGAAAAAAAAAAGGAACCTTTAATGCTATTTCAGAAATCATATCAACAATAATTAAAACAAAATAAAATTTCAAACCCCACCACATACGAAATTAGAGGAAAATCCATTTTTTTGGATGGTTTAATGATTCCCTCTTCTAACAGAACCATTACATTAGTTCTAATGTCACAGTTGTTTTAAACAATTTCTTAAACAACTATGCGTAATTACCTGAACCTAAACCCATGAATCCCAATTGCAAACCAGATAGATAGTTCAATTCATATCAACATATACAACATGTTTACATTTAACGTGAGCCGCAGTAATCCGAACATAATTTCCCATTCCCGAATAAAGTAGTCCAAAATAAGATTCCACAGACCGACCAGGTAGCTACCTTCATTTCAGTCTTTTTTAGCACACAATGAACTAACTCACAACATTCTTGACACATCAGGGACCTGCGTATACTTCAATCTAAACATCTCCAGAAAAGCGCTCTTAGAAAATAGGTAAACACATCAACGTCTCATCAATTTCTTTAGTATTGTTCTGCGGCAATGCCTTTTTCCCCTACGTTCTGTGGGTGCCCATTCTCAAACATAGCCAGCTATACTTACTATGATTGCTTTGTTAGGATTCGTGATCTTAAGTTTTATTTATGGCTTCTTTGGTTTTCGTATTTTGATATGCTTAGATATAGATTTAATTTATTGATCATAATATAGAATTCAATTAAGATATTGTATGAAAACTAAATTTACTCTATTCTTTTTCTTTTAAGAATTGAAGAATTGTGAATTCTCTGACTTGAAAAAGAAAGATTTTTTGGGGCTACCTTACTTGAATTTTCGATCAAGTTTTATATCAATAACATATTAATAACTCACGATTATCTTCAAGAATAAAATATTTGTTATGCTTAAAATTTTTTACTTTAATGTATATCTGTCTGATAATTGTCGAAAATATATTGATTTCATGGGCTTAATGTGATTATTTCATGATATGTTTGAGACCTATAATACTTGTTTGAGGTCCAACTAAGCATGGAATGGTTATAAAACCATTACCATCAAGTGCCAAATGTTTTATATATTTCAGGTAAATGAAACGAAAAATTTACATTGGTTGATAGAATAATTCAAGTGGACTGGATGTACATTGAACCGGAACTTACTGAGGAGTTGAACCGCGATTGGGCCATTTATACTGGGCCACGAAATTCTACCGGCGGCTGGGGGATACAGGCAATTTTGGGGCGGGCTTCTTGGAGTTTTTGGATAAGAGGGAGGCAATTTAACGGGAGGCGAATTCTAGAAAAAAAAAATGAAGAGGCAGCAATTAAGGGGAGGACGTTTTTTTGTTTGGTTGGGGACGGATTCCTTTGGGAGAGAAAAGCAAAGAGAGGCGCAGCGGAATCTCTTTTTGGGCGAAAAGCAAAGAGAGGCGCAGCGGAATCTCAAAAGCAGAGAGGCGCAGCGGCCAGCGGAAGCTGGGACGAGAGGAACAGGGCCAATTGTGGATCGAGATTTCCCAGCGGCTTGAGCTGAGTTCAACGAGAGCAGTTGGTTGGATTTTCTAAACCGAATTAGTTGTTTCTTGTTGTTTTAGAACATGATGAACAAAACTCTATCAATTTATCTCAATTTCATCATGAACTAAACCCCAATTTCTGGGGGAAACACCATAGGATGTAGCTATTTCTTGATTTGATAGATTGATTCGTATTTCTTTTCTTCCAATCTCTATTGCATGAAATTGCTTAATGCTTTGTGTTGACTGGCCACAAATACATTGATTTGTAGTTAATTAGGTTATTAGCGACAGTGAAACCCTAATAACTGAACATATTTCATGTAACATAGTAACTTATCGAAGCGACAGTGGATTAAATAAGGTGTTATGCGGTCTTGATTGGGATATCGGTCTTAAGGCTAAATAATTAACTCATTGAGCTACGACAGTAGGATTTGATTTAATTGTTTAGTACATAGTAATTCCCGACAGGGATAGCTAGCACATTCGTGATATCCTGGCTGTAGAGATATGGATTAAATTGATTGGAACATGTGAATTAATCTGGATAGGATAGGTAGTGAATCCCGGTGTTTCTCCCAGAGCTTTCTCCCATTGATTTAAACCCGACACTTTAATTTTCTTGTTTAGTTAATTTTGCTAGTAGTTAATAATCTCATTAAACCATTTTCACCTATAGTTTGCTCTATTAAATCGGTAAATCTTAAGGTTGTACCAGTCCCTGAGAGACGATACCCGGACTTTCCGGTTTTACTACAAGATAGGAATTGAAGCTATACGCTTTTGCCCTATCAAGTTTTTGGCGCCGTTGTCGGGGACTGCCATATCTTATTTTTATTGATTTTGTGAGTGAATTATTTTGATCTGGGTGTTAGTGTGTAGGTGAATTTTTGAGGTTTATCCTCCTCGTGCATGCCAAGGAGGACGACTGGCAATTTACTGCCACTAGATCCTGAGATCGAGAGGACCTGCCAACAGAACAGGAAGCATGTCAAGTTAGGGAAGCAGCCTACCACATCCACAACTCCTAGGCCTTCCCTAACTCAGAATCGTCAACCGAGAAGGCAGGTGACACCACCTGTCATCCCTACACCACCTACACCACCGCCGCGCGTCATCGAGCCTGTCATCATGGCTGAACAGGATCGTTCGATCAGGGCTCGTCTGAATCGGAGGACTGGAGCCCGAGCTTCATGTGTTGTCATTCCGGCTGGGGATGCAAACATGGAGATTGCCCCAGCCTTTATCAATATGATCACGAATGGGTACACCTTCTCAGGGGCCAGCACCGAGGATCCTCATGAACATCTCCGCCGGTTTGCAAGCATTTGTGATACAATGAAGAGCCCGGCTGTGTCTGATGATGCCATCAGTCTTCGGATGTTCTCATTTTCTCTGCTAGGGAATGCATCACACTGGTTCCAGAACTTGACACCCCGTTCCATCACAACATGGGGTCAGCTTGAGAAGACCTTTTTGGATAAGTACTTTCCTCCTGCCAAGGCAATGAAGAGGCAAGAGGAAATTGTCACTTTTAAACAAGCTGAGGATGAAAGTATGACCGAGGCATGGGAGCGCTATAAGGAGCTTCTAATGAGATGCCCGAGCCACGGTCTTGAAGATTGGAATGTGATCTCCATCTTCTTCAACGGAATCAGAAGACAATTTCGAGATGCTCTGAATAATGCTTCCCGAAATGGTTTCACAAGAATGGAAGCACCGGAAGCATATGAACTGTTGGAGAAGATATGCTCTGAAGATACTGAATGGGGTAGTGAGACCGGCATTCGAAGGAGAGGAGGCTTGCATGAGATAGACAGAGTTGCAAGTTTAGAAGCAAAGATTGATGCTAAGCCGGATTCCAAGTTCGATGCACTCGAACGAAGGCTGGCTAAGATGGCTCTTGGTAGACAACAGGAGGTTGCTTTGTGTGAATTATGTGAAGGTGCTCATCATAGGGATCTATGTCCACTGGAAGCTGATCAGTTGGAAGATGTGCACTATATCAACAATCAACAAAATCAAGACCAGGGTGGTATGCATTCAAATACCTACAACCCGCAATGGAGGAAGCATCCTAACTTTTCCTGGGAAAACAACAACCCAGCTGGTGCTCGCAACATTGCTCCTCCAGGCCTGCAGAAACAACAACCTCAACCAGAGAAGAAACCACAACTTGAAGAATTGCTTCTGGCTCACATGTAGAAAACCGACAATAATCTGAAGGGTCTTGATCAATTTGTCACTCAACAGCTAGCCATCAACAATAATATGCAATCATCTATGCTAGCTATGGAGAGGCAAATAGGCCAGATGGCTCAAACTTTGGCAGATATGCAAGGCAGGATTCCTGGGACATTACCAGCAAATACTGAGAGGAATCCGAAGGATGCCATGGTTGTAGCAGTGACATTGAGGAGTGGAAAGGCCTTGGAAGACCCTAGCAGCTCGAAAAAGGCACCAGAGGCAGAAGAGGAAGCACCGGGAGAAAGATCTTGTGCAAAAAATGAAGAATCAGCTTTGCACAGGCAAAATGAAAGCAGTTTGCCTGTGCAAAAGCATGCTGCCCGTGTACCTCAAAAAGTGGAAAAATTGAAGAATGAAGAGGTAAAGCCTTATGAACCTCCCGCGCCATTCCCTCAAAGGTTAATGAAGCCCATGGAAGACCCAAACTTCAAGAAATTTGTGAATATCTTCAAGCAACTTCATATCAACATACCGTTGGCGGAGGCACTTGAACAGATGCCTACATATGCTAAATTCTTAAGGGAGTTGCTGACAAAGAAGCGCAAATGGGCTGATTTGGAGAAGGTAACCCTTATTTCTGAATGTAGTGCCGTGATTCAGAATAAATTACCAGAAAAAAGGGATGATCCGGGCAGCTTCACCGTTCCATGTTTCATTGGAGGTACAGAGTTTGATAAATCACTTTGTGATCTTGGAGCAGGAATTAATTTGATGCCATACTCAGTCTACAAGAAATTGGGATTGGGAGATGTTCTTAAGCCTACTCGGATCACGCTCCAATTGGCTGATCGATCAGTAAAAATTCCAAAAGGAGTAGTGGAGAATGTATTGGTGAAGGTGGGAAAGTTTATTCTCCCAACAGATTTTGTAATTCTGGAGATGGAAGATGATCGGGGAGTGCCTCTAGTTCTCGGCATACCTTTTCTAGCAACCGGTGATGCACTCATCGATGTTGGGAGAGGCAAGTTGACATTCCGAGTAGGTAAGGAGGAGGAAATTTTTAATGTCTTTCAAGTTGACCATAATCATGATGAATTTGAAAGTGGAGCTCGAGAAAGGAAAAATCCCTCTTCCTGTGATAGTGGACCATCCGAAGAACTATCACCTATCCTATCTGCTCAGATTCTGAAGTCAAAGCAAGGGCAGAAATCCTTGCCAGGTCACCTCAAGTATAGATATTTGGGTAAGGATTTCAATCTTCCTGTTATTATTCCTTCTTCACTGACATTGAAACAGGAAGAGTACCTGCTTGAGGCGCTGCAGTACCACCTACGCCTCACTAAAGGGTCTAACATGCCAGCTAAGAAGGTCATACCCAATTTTCGCACACCTGGCCCTGCAGAGGTGACTCATATGCTGGATGGAGGTTATGCGTTCTATCATTGCTCGGGAGGGTATGCTGGATACCTTTCCATACCCATTGGTTGAAAGCTCCATAAACGTCAGGCTGAGGACGTTAAACAAGCGCTTCTTGGGAGGCAACCCAAGGTAAGTTTTCTTTTCTTTATTTTTATTTTTAGTTGTGTCAAACCCCTGCATGTTTAGATTAGGAGTTGAACATTAGAGACAATGTTCCATCCTGAGTGTGGGGTGGCGAGTCTTAGTGTTTGTTTGTTCCTTTTGTCATATGGTCAGTAAAAAAAAAATCCAAAAATCAAAAAAAAAAGAAAATTGTTTGTTCCTTTTGTCATGTGGTCGGTAAAAAAAACAAAAAAACCCAAAAAAAAACAAAAAACAAAAAAATTGCCATTAGGTTGAGCACAGCCAAACTGCATGCAGTTTGCCTGTGTAAAAAGCAATCTGCCTGTGTAAAAAGCAGTCTGCCTGTGCAAAGCTAATGGCTAAAAAACACCTAAAAATTAGAAAAATAAAAAACAAAACTTTGTACTCTTGTGGTAACATGATGTAAATGACCGTGATGCCTTGAAAATGAGTTTGTGCTTGAATGAAATCATCAAAATCACCCCACTAGTGTTGAATTGTATAGTTCTTCACAATGAGCTTGAATGTTTTGACTGACTTGATATGCTTTGAATGAGCAACTCTTTTAGCAACATTCTCTTTTGTGAGGATAGTGTAACGACTTTTGGTGAAGTAGTTAGGTGGAGAACATTGACCATTCGATATGTTTGGATACCATGCTTACTTGCATCAATTGTGAGCTTTTGATTTTGCAATGAGTCTCTCTGTTTTGAATGTTTTATGATGGGGTGAACTGTATCTTTATAATATGAGAAAACACTACCTGACAAGTAAAATATAAGAAAGTTGCCATAACAATTAAAGTGTGGGTAAAAATGCCAAAATCGTGTGAGACAATCACTCATTGCACATGGGGATTAGGAAAGATTCAATTGAGAATCGGTTCGCGACCGTACGATGTTGCTTATCAAGTATGATCCCCAGTTGAGTGAAGTGCCATTTGAGGAGCAATGACCCTCCACACAGACCGAGGAAAAGGAGTTAAAAGAAGCCCTTATGCGAGTGCTAAGAAGCAGAAATTGCTCTTTCTCGGTCACCGGTAGTAAGAAACAAATCCCACTTGTACTAAATACGACCTATCGGCAAGCAAAAGCAGAAAGAGAGAAAGCCTCTCATTGTCATAAAAGGTAGTGATGTGCTTAAAGTTAAAATCATGTTTGCGAAAGGCTTCCCCCGTTAGTTTTTGAGACTCATGCTTAATTAATTGCTTATGATTGGTGTGAGTATGCCAGACTGTCCTCACGAGATATGCACCTCACTAATGTGGTTAGATTCTCCTAATAATTGTTGTGCCATAAGTTGTTAACCACCCACTACCGACGATCGAATTTGAGTGTTGATATTTGAGTTTTTGATGGATTTGAGTCAGTCAATGGTTAAGGGTGGCAAAGACCTTGAGTGTGGGGTGAAAGGTATGATCATTAAAGCACAACTTTTCCTTTGAGAAAGAAACTACTGATTACAACAAGAGTACAAGGAAAAATTTCTAGTGTTGATGTTGTGTTTTGTGAGTCATGGATTTTTGTGTGAGAAAGGTTGTGTCTCCCTGGTCTGTGTTGTGTTTCCTCCAATTATCGTTCTCTTGTGTGAGTCGTTGCTTAGGGACAAGCAAGTATGGAGTGTGGGGTTGTGATAATTGTCGAAAATATATTGATTTCATGGGCTTAATGTGATTATTTCATGATATGTTTGAGACCTATAATACTTGTTTGAGGTCCAACTAAGCCTGGAATGGTTATAAAACCATTACCATCAAGTGCCAAATGTTTTATATATTTCAGGTAAATGAAACGAAAAATTTACATTGGTTGATAGAATAATTCAAGTGGACTGGATGTACATTGAACCGGAACTTACTGAGGAGTTGAACCGCGATTGGGCCATTTATACTGGGCCACGAAATTCTACCGGCTGCTGGGGGACACAACCAATTTTGGGGCGGGCTTCTTGGAGTTTTTGGATAAGAGGGAGGCAATTTAACGGGAGGCGAATTCTAGAAAAAAAAAAAGGAAGAGGCAGCAATTAAGGGGAGGACGTTTTTTTGTTTGGTTGGGGACGGATTCCTTTGGGAGAGAAAAGCTAAGAGAGGCGCAGCGGAATCTCTTTTTGGGCGAAAAGCAAGGAGAGGCGCAGCGGAATCTCAAAAGCAGAGAGGCGCAGCGGCCAGCGGAAGCTGGGACGAGAGGAACAGGGCCAATTGTGGATCGAGATTTCCCAGCGGCTTGAGCTGAGTTCAACGAGAGCAGTTGGTTGGATTTTCTAAACCGAATTAGTTGTTTCTTGTTGTTTTAGAACATGATGAACAAAACCCTATCAATTTATCTCAATTTCATCATGAACTAAACCCCAATTTCTGGGGGAAACACCATAGGATGTAGCTATTTCTTGATTTGATAGATTGATTCGTATTTCTTTTTTTCCAATCTCTATTGCATGAAATTGCTTAATGCTTTGTGTTGACTGGCCACCAATACATTGATTTGTAGTTAATTAGGTTATTAGCGACAGTGAAACCCTAATAACTGAACATATTTCATGTGACATAGTAACTTATCGAAGCGACAGTGGATTAAATAAGGTGTTATGCGGTCTTGATTGGGATATCGGTCTTAAGGCTAAATAATTAACTCATTGAGCTACGACAGTAGGATTTGATTTAATTGTTTAGTACGTAGTAATTCCCGACAGGGATAGCTAGCACATTCGTGATATCCTGGCTGTAGAGATATGGATTAAATTGATTGGAACATGTGAATTAATCTGGATAGGATAGGTAGTGAATCCCGGTGTTTCTCCCAGAGCTTTCTCCCATTGATTTAAACCCGACACTTTAATTTTCTTGTTTAGTTAATTTTGTTAGTAGTTAATAATCTCATTAAACCATTTTCACCTATAGTTTGCTCTATTAAAGACTATATATAAAAGCCAAGTTGAAAGCTCAGAAGAATCACAGTTTTGACACCTGTCCAAACTCTCAGAAATAGCCCTACTATTTTCTGTTAATTACAACTTTGCCATAGAACCGCATGGTCGACAAGCGGTTTGTCTATTTTGGAAAAAACGCTCTTCGAAGAAGCGGTTTTCAAGACTGCCCTAGCACAAACCGCTTCCTCGGGGAGCGGTTATGTGTCGGCATGGCAAAACGCTCCACAGGGAAGCGGTTTACTATGTCGACACATAAACCGCACCCCTAGCGGTTTGTGCCTCGTCACCCGACATCCGACATGTCGGCATGCAGGAGGTTGCAGGGTGGGGGCTGCATGCCAGACTAAAACCGCTCCCCCCCCCCCTTGCAGTTTGTAGTGTAAAATTTGCCTACAAAAAGCAGGTCTAGAAAACTCAAAATCTTCACTCCACTCCTTCTTCTTCTTCAAATTTCAGTTGTGCACCTTTAAATTATTTAGTTTTTGCAATTAACGTTAATTCGTAAGTTTGTTTTGTATTACTTTTCATTGTCATTTGTGATTTTTGTGTTAGAAACTTAATTACAGTTTTATTGCAGATGGCATTCCAAAGGTTCACGCTTGGGTTGCGGTGGAATGATTACACGAAAGAGACCGAAGAGGGTGTAAGTTACGTGGGTGGCAATTTTTATAAAATGAAGGTCCGTACGAGACCGATGCTTGAAGAGCTCCATCAAATGTGCACTGAGGTTACATGCATGGATGGCACTAGAAGAGTTGATCGTATGGTGTATCGATATCCAAACAGACATGGCGGGTCGCTGTGGAATGAGGAATTCCTCATTACCACTCAGGAGGACGTTGATGACATGGTCCAATTTTTTACCACCAATAAAATAAGGGTTAATATCTTATTATGACCCGAACTATGACCATATAATCAACTTTGGCCCGTGGTCTGAGAAATTAACATCTTGGCCTGAATTTTGCAGCATAAAGACTCAATTGACCGAAAGCTTGGTTTGACCGTTCGTTTGGACGGTCAACTGTCCAGGTCACCGCCATGTAAGCACCAAAGAAAAAAAATCAATTTTCAATTTTCTTTTATTATTTCCTTTACCTAATTATAAAAAATGAAAAAAATAAAATTATTTTCGGTAATGGGCCACTTATCTTCCTTCATTTATCTCGATGAAGCCTACTCTACTTCTTCGACCACTTATTTTCCTTCCTCCTCTCTCGATTACTATGGGTGATGGATGATAACTAATGGCGCCACTATTAGACGATATGGACCATTATGTAAATAAATGGATAGCGTACGATTAGTTTAGCATAAATAGAATGTAATTAGGACCAAAATGTAATTAGATAGGTTGTTACAACAGAAACGGTTTTCCCTCCGTTCAACTCTGTAAACCAGAGTATAAATTTAGCAACTCTAGCTGAACTCTGCACGTTTTTCTTCCCGCAATACAGAAAAGCATAGCTTTAGTCAGAATTCTAGCATGGTATCAGAGCTCAACTGAGCCGATTTCGTCTCAACTCTCTCGCTTCCGTCTCTTCTTCTTCTTCTCGTAATCGTTCTCCTATGGCGATTCACGATTCTTCCTCTTCTAGCGACGACGCTCACCCTGCAAATCCTCACACTGGAGGTCGCTCCATTGGCATCAATGGCGTTCTGTACAAAGGCATTCTGATCTCCAATCCTGCCTCGCCATTCTTCATTCATCCCTCAGAGAATTGGGGGCAATGTCTCGTCTCTCAACCACTCACTAAGAATAACTTCTCGAGTTGGGAGCGTTCCATGATTCGTGTCATCGATGGCAAGAACAAATTAGGGTTCTTTAATGGCAAAATCCCGCAGCCGAGCGATGATTCCCCCATGTTGGAGCCCTGGAATCGCAATAACAAGCTTCTGCTCAGGTGGATTCAACGATCTGTGAATCCCACCATTGCTGAAAGCATTCTCTACGTGACCACTGCTATCGGTGCTTGGACAGAGTTACGATAGCAATTCTTGCAAGGAGATTCTTTCCGAATTGCAGATCTTCAAGAAGCCATTTTCAATCTTAAGCAAGGTACTCTCAGCGTTTCTCAGTATTACTCGAAGCAAAGAGCCTTGTGGGATCAGTTAGCCAACTATAGGTTTATCCCTGATTGTGAATGTGGAATTACATGTCACTGTGTCTTAGCTTATTTGCGTAAAGATCATATGAATGACAAGGTTATCCGCTTCTTGAGAAATCTCAATGATAGCTTCAATGGTCCTCGTTTTACCGTGATGTGCTTGATCCATTACCTCCCATTAACAAAGTGTTTGCTATGATGGTGCAACACGAAAGATAAAATGGATTACTACCTAAACCACAGCCTGCTCACAACCCTGCTTCAGAAAGCATGGTGTTCTTCACTAAAGCAGCTGGACAACATCTAGGTATACAGGGTGTTGGTCAGGGTTTCAAGAAGCAAGGCAAGAAACCTGTGTGTACATTCTGTGGATACACTGGACACACAGAAGATATCTGTTACAAGAAGAATGGTTATCCTCCTAGGTACCAATCTAAGAAGAAGCAACAGCCTCCTCGACAGGCCAACAGTGTCTCTACTGATCTTACTCAACCTTCTAATGGGGCAGTAATGATCAATCAGTCTGACTGGCAGAGTTTCCAGCAGAACTATCAAAGGATGCTTCACATTATGCAGCCTTATTCTCAGCAGCCCTCTTCTACTCAGCAGACTGCTATCCAATCAACTCATTTCTCTGCTCTTCCACAGCAGCAGCATTTTCCACCACCATCTGCTTTTCAAGAAGCATATACTGCTAACAACCCAGCGCATTATTCAGCTTCTAATGATAGTGAGGGTTCTGGTCAGCACAACATAATCAACAGAACAATTTCTGTTGTTTCTCATGGTTTTGAGACTACTGAGCAATCAGGTATCATTCATTATGCTTTGAATGTGAATTGTTTTCTTAATAATAAGTGGATTTTGGACACTGGGGCTACAGATCATATTATTTGTTCTCCCCATTATTTTTCACACTTCAAACCAGTTCAGAACACTTATGTTCATATGCCTAATGGCAGTAAAGTGATTGTCACAACAATAGGAACTGTTAAGTACTCAGATCATCTGATCTTGCATGATGTTTTGCTTGTTCCTTCTTTCACTTTTAATCTAGTTTCTGTTAGTAAACTAGTTCGTAGTACAACCATATGCTTTTGGTTCCATTACTCCCTGTGTTTTATTCAGGCATACCCCAGTTTGACAATGATTGGAACAGCTAGCTTAGCTGATGGTTTGTACATACTGCACCATCCATCTCAAACTGCACAACTCCAGCATAATCTGCTTCTTAACACAACTCAAGCACCACCAACATCTTCTCCTACAGTGGTTTTTTCAACATCACAGCCTTCTATTGACATCTGGCACTACAGACTTGGTCACATTCCAGCAACTAAACTCAGGAATCTACATTGTTTAGATAAATTCATTACTGTTCTTTCTGATTTTCATTGTACAGTTTGCCCTAAGGCAAAGCAGAAGAGGCTTCCTTTTCCCACTAGTATCAGCAAAACAGCTGCTCCATTTGATGTTGTACATGTTGATATTTGGGGAAATGCCCCAATCACTTCTTTTCAAGGTCATTCATATTTCTTGACCATAGTCGATGACTGTAGTAGGCATACTTGGATTTTCACTATGAAATCTAAATCTGAGGCTCGTCCCACTATTATTTCATTTTTTGCCTTTGTTGAAACTCAATTTAACTGCAAGATTAAAGTCATCAGAACTGATAATGGTCTTGAGTTCCAAATACCAGATTTTTACAAATCAAAAGGAACCATTCATCAAACCACATGTGTCTATACTTCTCAACAAAATGGAATTCTTGAACGCAAGCATCAACATATACTGGCAGTCACTAGGGCTTTGCTCTTTCAAGCCTCACTCCCACTACAGTTCTGGAACTTTGCAGCAATGCATACTATTCACATTATCAACAGAACTCCCACCACTCTTTTAAACAATGTTACCCCTTTTGAAAAGCTTAATGGTTCTCCACCTACTTTGAACCATTTAAAAGTTTTTGGTTGTCTTAAATATACTGCAACCATCCAAGCAACCAGAACTAAGCTGGATCACAGAGCAAACCCTTGTGTTTTCCTAGGGCACCCTCTTGGCACAAAAGGGTTCAGATTATACAACTTAATCACACACAACATTTTCATATCACGTGATGTTTCTTTTCATGAAACTATTTTTCCTTTTCAGCAGGTCAATCAAAATTTGACCCCCTCAATTCTTCTTCCAGTTTTTCCAGCAGTCTTTGCAGACCTGGATTTCACTAAAGCTCACACCACTTCCCCATCTTCTGTCCCCTCTCAACTGACATCATCTCCTCCTATTGATGCTCCAGTTTCAACTACCACACTCACTGATTCCTTACCTGAGACTCAACCTCAATTAAGAAGGTCTACCAGACAAATTGTCAGACGTGCTAAACTGAATGATTACAAGTGTAATCTGATCAGTCAGACATCATTAATTTCTTCTGTCACTTATCCTATTCAGCAAATGCTTACATATCGATCCCTGAGTCCCACTCATCGACATTTTGCTCTTTCTATCACTCAAGTTAGAGAACCAAAAACTTACAAAGAAGCTACCAAGAGCAAAGAATAGTTAGCTGCTGTCAATTCAGAGTTTGCATCTCTGGAGAAAACAAAAACATGGGTTCTTGTTGACCCTCCTCCTAATGTTCCTATCATTGGTAACAAATGGGTTTTTCGGCTTAAATTTAAACAAGATGGGACAATTGACAAGTATAAAGCTCGATTAGTAGCCAAAGGCTATACTCAGACACCTGGTGTGGATTACATGGATATCTTCTCACCTGTAGTTAAGATGACTACAGTACGAATTCTTCTAGCATTAGCATCAATTTATAAATGGCATCTTGAACAATTGGATGTCAATACAGCATTCCTTCATGGTGATTTACACGAAGATGTGTATATGAAGCTTCCCCCAGGATTGCAAGTTGATCCATCTGATCAACACAAAGTTTGCAAACTCACAAAGTCCCTATATGGCTTAAAACAAGCTAGTCGACAATGGTTTGAGAAACTTGCAGCTACTTTGGAAACTTTACACTATGTTTGGGAAGCTGGGGTAAGTGGGAGGGGGGTAAGAAGCAGGGGCAAATGGTGTTATCGAGGGATTTACCCTCGTTTGGATCTTCTGGAACAATATTGGGGGTGAATAAAGGAGGTGCAAAGCAACTGTTTCACCTCACCCTCCAATTCGGGGTGCAAAGTCCAAAAGGACAAGCTGCTTGCCCCAATTTTATTTTATTTTTTATTTAGGAGGAAGCCCCCAATTTTTCCAGCCTCTTTACTCCTTGAACCAATTTTTCTTCTCATCGTGTATCGCCGGCGAACTTGATGAATGAATATTCTCCGGCAGCAGTTGCAATGGGAGAACAAAATTTCAGTTTCCGGCGACAGAACAACGATTTCATCGTCCGGCCTTTTCCCCTATGCCGCCTCCATCAAAGCTTCAGCCCCCGCCCTCCCGCTCCCCTGTCTCCATTACCGCTGCCTCTGGTAGCCACCGCCCCACCCCGTCTCTGCTGTCGTCATAACAATTGCACGTAGGATTCAGACCGGTGATTGACCAGATCCGGCCCCTGGCTTTCCGTTTTGTTATTCCTCCGAGAAAAAGAGAAGTGAGGGGAATTGTGGTTGAATTATTGACGGAAATAGTGAAACTGGTTTGGATGTTGCAGCTGGGTAATGCCGTAGTGGAAGACAATGGTAAAGGTTAGGTTTTTGTTTTGGTGTGAAGGTAAATGTTATGTTGTTATAAAAATAAAAAGGTAAAAGGTTAGGTTAATATCTTAATTTATATATTTATTTTCACCAATTTATAGTTTTATGTATATATTTTCTATACTAATAATTATAATTACCCCTACTTTATACACCCCTACTTTTTTTTCCCAAACAACAATTTACGCCCCAATTTACACCTTTCCTGAATTTGCTCCCCCCTGCAATTTTTACCTTAATTTGCACCCTCCTCGAATTTGCACCCCCCTCGTTGCCAAACATATTGTTAGGCTACCAAAAATCTCACAGTGACTACTTACTCTTCACTAAGTATTCTGCCTCTTCGTTCACAGCACTCCTAGTATATGTCGATGACATTATACTAACAAGAAATAACATGGAAGAAATCAACTATGTTAAACATCAACTTGACATTGCTTTCACTATCAAAGATCTTGGGCAATTAAAATATTTTCATGGAATGGAAGTTTCCAGGTCAGATACTGGGATTCATTTGTGTCAACACAAATACACATTGGACTTGCTATCTGATACAGGATTTCTAGCATCTAAACCTACCACTACTCCCTCCATCCTTGCCACCCATCTCTCTGCTCATTATGGTACTCCTCTGGATGAACATGCTCATAGCAGTTATCAAATATCATTGGTAGATTGCAGTATCTATGTAACACTCGCCCTAACATTTGTTACACAGTCAATCAACTGAGTCAGTTTGTGGATTCTCCCACCTCAGCACATGAACGTGAAACTCACAGACTCCTTCGCTATTTGAAAACAACTCTTGCTCGAGGATTGTTCTTCCCCTCAAATTCTTCTACACGACTCACTGCATTCTCTGATTTTGATTGGGCTAGCTGTCCCGACACAAGACGTTCAATAACTGGGTTCTGTGTGTTTCTCGGTAACTCGCTAATTAGCTAGCACTCCAAGAAACAACAGAAAAGGATTAGTTTAGCATAAATAGAATGTAATTAGGACCAAAATGTAATTAGATAGGTTGTTACAACAGAAAAGGGTTTTCCCTCCGTTCAACTCTGTAAACCAGAGTATAAATTCAGCTACTCTAGCTGAACTCTGCACGTTTTTCTTCCTGCAATACAGAAAAGCAAAGCTTTAGTCAGAATTCTAGCAGCCACCATAGCTGATTCCCACCACAAACGTCGCCTTGAGATAATATTCTTTCTAATAGCTAGATAGTGGGTGAGAAAGTCTCTGTTCTGCCAATCAATTCTCTAGTGGTGCTGCTACTACCGAATCGTCCCCAACCTCTACCAGCGGTCGATCTGGGTTTTATGGCTGGCCTGTGAGATCGAGAGTACCCAACCGGGGAAAGTGAAGGGTAGAAGCTCGGAAATCGGAATGAGAGAGGTTGTGGTGGCACTGCTGCCTTCCTTCCTGAACCTGACCACACCGCCTTTCACTCGCTGTCGCTGTCGCCCAGTTCTGCCACTATCACCGGTGGC